AGAGGTTCCTTTTTACATTTTATCTTTGGAATTAAATCAGAGAACAGCACAAAATAAGGAAACGAAAAGAGAAAAAAAAAAAAAACGTAAAGCCAAATGGCAAGAAAAGGCTCCAAAAAAAAAAGAAAGAGAAGTAAAGAGGGGACAAGTCAGCCTACCAGGTTACTTGGTTTTGATTTTCCCTCAGGGCGCGGGGTGGGGAAACAAAGGGCCTAAGGAACAGAGAGAGAGCGCTCTTGGGGTACGAGCAGTCCTAACCATTTCTGACTGTAGTTTAGTGGTACTTAGGCTGACAACTTGATTTGTCAAGATTGCACTTTAGAAGTTCCATAACTTCCATGAGGGCTTCCACCTCCACCAGGAGGCAATCCATCCGCGGATTTAGAGACAAAGAGTAAGAGGGCTTAGGTAAGACTATTCTGGATGGAGGGCACTCAGCCAGAGGACGGAGGCTACGGAGCATACCCGATGAGGCAGGAAAGGAGCAATGGAAGTTGAGAGGTGTGGATTTCGATGGATTTCTGCCTCAGGGCTCCAGAAGGCGAACCTCCAATAGGAAAAGGCCTCAGGCAAGCGTCGGGGCCGACACCAGAATTACTCGATGTGGAAAGGGGGGAAGTGCAAGGGTGGAGACCCTCAGCGTCGGTGGACTAATAATATCCCCCATTCAGACGGTTAGGGCATCTTCCCAGGCCCCCTTAGTGTCCTTCCGGAGTCAGAGCGGTGTCGTTGAGAAATCCCGGGAATCTATGCTACGGGATCCCTACACTAGTTGTTTAGTCTGGGAGTTGAGGCATCTATTTGACTGTCTAGGCTGGCTCGTTCAATATTTATTATGTGATTGATTGGAAGGACAGTCAGTGGGTCACGTCGTACAATGTAGGTACGGACCAAGTACTTCCTCTCTGCAACCCATCGGAGAAAGTGACCAGGAATTGTACGAAGTTCGGGGGGAGTTGGACAGCAAAATTAAAAATAAAACGAGGAACACCAGAAGGGCCGGGACAAGAAGCGGAAAGAGGCTGTGCAGATGAATCCTGTTACTTAGCTTAAACTTACTACATACAGTACAGGCCGAGGGACCAGTGAAGTCATCCTATTCTTTTAGTCTTTTCTAGATTGGATTGGTTCCTACGGAGAAAAAGAATAGAAGGAACAAAAGACGGCGAACGAGGGAGACAACAGCACTCCATACCACTGCTATTATCTAGGTTTCTTCATCTTTTTCTTTCTTTCCATTTTCTCTCGTTCGTTCTTTTTCTGGAGCACATAAGGCGACCAACGATAACTAGTCAAGAAGCAGATGTCTAATCAAAGGTACCACCTAGAAGACCCGACTTAATTATTCTGAAGCTCCCCTCCAATGACAGGTAATAATAAGCAGTTTTATTAGTATCATTGCAATTCCGACCATCAGTATCATGACCGATTCTGATTAATGATTATACTCTTTCCATGATTCCACCCTCCTTCTGCAGCCCTGACTGATCCCATGCTTTTGGTGGATCCACTCCGTCACGACCGAACGGCGTCTGCTGCTCTGCTAATAATAATGCTAGTCAACTGCTGATTTGGGTATTTGGGAAGAATTCATTCAAATAGAATAAACCAAATAAATAAATAATATTGCCCGCTCGTTCAGAATCCAGAGTACTCCGAATGCTCTATTTTATTTTAATGAATGATTTTTCCGTTAGCCCCTAAGCTAAGCTGCCTCCAGCAAGAACACCCTCCACTTGCCTTTCTCCCTCCTCGGCATCCCCCCTTCTCCAGTAGTCTCCTTGGACGCTTCCTCTGTACGTTTTGGTCCGAATAAGTTATGACTAAAGTCAGGGTCAAACCCAGAAAGACCGAAAAATAAATCCTCATTATTTTTAACCGCGCCAAACCCAAAGGGGAAACCTGGGATGCCGGAGGACTGCCTCTTGCTGGTTCTCTTCCGAGAAAGCGGGCACTTCGGAAAGTTCGCAGAAGAAGATGGATACCGGTCATTCTCTCCATGGATAGGCTGGCAACGGTTGAGATGTGGAGGATGACCAGCAGGGACCTCTCAACTTCCACACCTCACGCTCTCATCCACAATGCTAACCAGCCCTCGGTCGTCCCTATCTAGCGTGGGTTGTGTGCTCCATACTCCAGTCCTTCGTACCTAAATGGTTTATTTTTATTTCTGGTGAGTTTTCCTACTACGGAGTATTTTATTTTTATTTTCATTCCCCTCTCAGGCTCTCCTCTCCGTCTCTTTCCTGGTGGGCAAGTTAACTAATAACTAGTGAGTTAGGACATCATGATGTATTTCCACCCCCCGAAGAACGATAATACCACCGTTTTATTTATAAATCATTAATGGCATTAACCATCAGATAATAACCTAAAATAATAATAGCCATGATATAATGTCCGCACCCCGTTAGACGGACTAGTATCACCGTAATAACGGCATTAATAAATCCTATCTGGGCGCACCTGATCCCTGGTCATATTATTATTCTTTCTCGACCTTGTGGCTCCAGTTTCCACGCCCCAGTCTTCTTATTTCCTGCTGCCACTTCCACTTTACCTTGCGGCGTTCCCAACCTCTGACTACCTGATCCTCGAACCTAACAGTTCTAACCCGACTTTTCTTACTCTTTTGCCTGCACCCCCGCCACGCTAAGCCGGCATCCTGTTGCTCTTACCACCACTTCCGCTGTCTTAGTGCTCAGGGAAAAGTAATATATCTCTCGTCATATCAGACTCTTCACTGTCGCCCTTTTTTTTTATTTTTTATTTTTTATTCCTCTTTTTATTTTCCTATTTTTGATTATTATCCATCCATCTTATTTCTTTTTATCACTCCTCCCACCCCCCATAACTATTACCTTCTCCCCCCCTCCTCCCTTCCCCTCCCCTCTTCTTCCGAAACCCATTTCCTGTTATGGCATCTTAGAAGTATCGAAAGTCGTTTTCTTTTTTTTCTTCTTCTTTTTACTTACACTCGCTCACACACCGTTCGCTCATACACTCGCTTTGCTTTGACATCAAAGTCATATCACATTCGCTACGTTGGTTGACCGCGGAAGGAAAAAGAAAAACACGGGATATTTAATTGCAACAGAAGTTGAAGGAAGTGAACGGATCACCGGCTTTCTCTGAATTAATATCTAATTCTCACGCACTGGACGCACTCGTTGATCGTTCCAACGACCTTCGTTTTATTGGTTTCTGCCCGAGTGCCTGCGTGCCAATCCGACAACAGAATCGGGATCTGTTCCGGCGCATCATATCGAAAGACGGACGGAGAAGATCGCACTTTTCGGGGCCGAATCGACCTGACAGCCCTTTGGACCTAATTTCGAACCTCCGCGCGGACTATTCAGTTGGCGTTTGCCTTGTTTCGACATACACGCGCCGTAGAGGAATCCCCGCAGCGCCGTTTGCTACTCGCCAAATTTCGGGATCCCTCAATTTCACTTGCGATTTCGCCTGGTCTCGATTCATCTGAAAAGTGGACCTCAGCTTGACATCAACGGCCAACACTGTATTGACGGCAAATCCTCCAAAGGAGCTCGTTGACGCTGGGAAGTTAAATCATCGTGAATCATTGTCTCGGTTGAACACATCAAGCCATCGCGTACTAGCAAGAATTACCTCAAACCTGAGCCATCGGGAGATTGGGAAGCAGAAAAACCTTTGCACTCAGCTGTTAATTTGTTAAGGTTAGTGTAATTTCCCTTCGCCACTGATCCCGGTGGTGCCTTGCATCAATCAGTCCCTTTTCTCCCTTTTCTTGGGACCCTTGCTTCTCCAAGGTCGTGCCTCTGGTGCACAAGGGCCCGAGGAAAATTAGGACCCATGATGGGATCCAGACTCTGAATATCTCCCCTGTGATTTTCGCTACCGAGCCCCTGGGTGTGTTTGTTGTTGACATTTTGTTATGGTGTAGACTATTTTGTCGTCGCGCGATTGTGGACTTTTGCATATTAGCCTTCCAAAGGTCTCTCGGTACGAAACTTTTCGTTCTCCTCTCGTTTCTCCTTGGTAAGTCTCTGCTAGTCTATGCAGGAAGCCGGTCTTCTTGACCTCTTGAAGGCTTCTCACTCATCAGCTGGGTAGCTCATTGCCTAACTTGTGCCCAGTTCTCCGGGGCCTAGTCATTCGGAACCTCCTGAGACTCATTCTGCTTGGTTGAAAGAGAAGAGAGAAAAGCCAATTTCCCTCTTGTCTCTACCCGGTTGACTTATTACTGGCTTGCTATTTGAGACCGGAACCACGGCTTTCGAGCAGCATCCCGTCGGGCTTAACCACGTCTAGAGAATAATCGACCATCCACAGATGCCAATCGGTTCATCATAGGTGCTTTCTCTGGAACAGTATTCCGCATCGTGGTTTATATTCGCCCAATACTCTGCAGCCAGCCTATCGCAGTTTCAGCCTTCGTTTTGAGCTTCTGGCCGTTGATTCGAGGCCCTCCATCGTGTCTTGCTAGTTGAGACTTCCTGTCGCTTCTTGTCGTCACTCGTTTTGTCTCGGAGAGCTCCCCGGTGACTTTCCGTCGTCCCATCGTTTTTGCTACCATAAATTCGCTGCCAATCGCTTCTTTTAAGCTGTTGTGTTTCGTTGCAGTCTCTGCAACACCTTCAAACTGGCTTACTCGAAGACGCACGGTGTTTTGGTAGGTCCCAAAGAAATCCCACACCTGTTTCTCTTGTGATGCCCAACGATTATTTCTTCTTGCGTTTTACCACTCTTTCGATTTTGTTTCTCTTCATCAGTCGGGTTTGGAATCTTGGTCCAGATTTGTGCTTTCTAGCTGCAGCCTCCTCAATTTCCTTCTGTTCTTTTTTTCACTCCTGCCTATGTGAACACATGTTGACGACAGTTTCGCCATCTAGTTCGATCCAGATTTTCAAACGCCCTTGATTGTAGACGAGTCGTTGGATTTCTCAGGCGCTGAAGATTCGCGGTTTATCAGCACGTTTTCAGACGGCCTTCTGGCCAAGTCTGAACCCATTCTGTCTATGTCTACTTTCCAAAAGCCTCCTCAGGCGGCCTTGCTCGGTGAGTCGCTCCCCTGTTGTTTCGGGTTTCAAATCACGTCGTTTGCTAAACCGTCTTAAAGATTATGAATCCGCTCGGTCTATGCATGATGGTGCTTCCTACCCCAGCTATGGACAAACGCCTTATGTAACGAATGCCTCTATGGTCCCTTCGCCCATGACCGATCACACGAGCCAGATTTCCGATTGTGTTCCCTACATGAGCAACCAGAGCTATGCTAGCTCCTATGAGGAGGGTCGGTCTCCGATGATGGGTGGAGAGTCCCGCCAAGTGCCTGAAATCCTTTCTTACTCTCCTCAGCGGGGATCTGAAGGTACCAGAGTGTTTGTGGAAATTCAGTCTCCCTACGACCTTCACACCTCATCATATGCGACGGTTTATCTCGTCTTCGGCTCGAAGAAGACCGAGTGCGTCCCTCAATTCGTTGGATTCCAGGGAACCGCCTTCCAGTATGCCCTTTCCGTGGACACTCCCCCTTTCATGTCGACGGGTTCGCCATCATTCGCTGTGCCGCTCCAGGTAGTAGTGGATGGACAAGGCGAGTGCCCTACGACCGCCCTGCAAGTTGGTGTCTATACATATGAGCAAGCTTCCCACCATTCTCCTTCCGATGAATCCCGCAAGAGAAGAATCTCGTCCATTTCCGAGGACACCTCCAGACCTACCAAGAGAAGCGGTGTCCAGGCCATGCACGCAAGAGATCACTCCGCCAGCTATTCGACGACGTACTCGCCCTACCTGCAACCTCTCCCGGCCATGAATGGCTTTGCGACCCCGTATCATGCAGCCCCCTCGCCTCGAGTTGGTCCCGCGCAATACTCAACCGTCTCGGCATCTTCGCAACCGTCCATCAGGGCGCCTTCTCCCTTGACTCCATCATGGAGCCCTTCCTATATGTCTGTCAGCAGTGATCCTCGGACGCCGGGTTTCGGGGTTAGTCACGGTCTCCCCCAAAAGGCATCATCCCCTGGTCGGTTTTCGAACCCAACGCTTATCCGAACGTCGACGCTGCAGCACTCCGGATCCATCCCTCAAACGCAATCGTTCAACCCTTACGCCATGTATCCGTCAAAGGCCATTCTGAAACTGAACGGAGACTTGGATACCATGACCGAACATTGGACCAAGGAAGAGCGCGACATGAAACGACGTTTGGTGCAGTTTACCCGGGTCCAAAATGGCAGCACGATTCACGCCGATTTTAAGCCTGTTGCCCCTGAGGACCGAGCTCCCAACAGTATTTGTATCAGCTGCATCAACTGGGATGGGAAGGATGAATGTTTTGTGACCAGCGTGGACACCATTTATCTCTTGGAATCGCTCGTTGGTGTCCGTTTCACTGTGGAGGAGAAGAACCGCATTCGCAGAAACTTGGAGGGCTTCCGTCCCCTAACCGTGTCGAAAGCCAAGGCCGACAGCGAAGAATTCTTCAAGGTCATCATGGGATTTCCAGCACCCAAGCCCCGCAACATCGAGAAGGATGTGAAGGTCTTCCCCTGGAAGATCCTGAGCCATGCTCTGAAGAAAATCATTGGAAAATACGTGGGTGATACCTTTCCCTGCCTATATACTCCTGCTTCCACGAGTGTTTTACTAACGCCAGAGCCAATTCAGTCCGCAAGCTACTCTTCCACTGCTGGTGCCCTGCCTACTCCGATCGCCTCCAACTACACGAGCAATGGCGCCGCGTCCGATTCCGGGACCGAGCCATTGAACGCAGGATCCCCTCAGTCTGTTTCAGATACTGCTCCTTCGACAACGTATAGTTCGGCTATGGGAGTACCGGCTTATTCACCCCCAACGGGGCATTCCGGGGCGCCAATGACGAATCCAGCTGAAATGCGTGCCGTGTTACCGGCCGTCAACCAGTCCTACCATAGCATGGCCACCCCTTATCAATGCGCGCCAGTCTGCCAGCAACCGAGCCAGATTGGACTGAATGCTCCAGTGAGTCGGGCCTGGGAGTTGAACCCTCTCGTTAACGCCCCTCCAACCAGCGGGCCTCCTAGCAGCACTTCCTGCTACACCTATATGGCACCGATGCCATACTCGCTCCCAGATCAAGGGCCTTAAATTGAGGCCTTTGACAGTTAATTTTGCCTTATTTCTGCTTTTTTTGCAATACGTTCTTAGCATCAGTCGGCGTTGTTCTTTGGTTTGTTATTTTGGTTTTACCTCTATCCCGATTTTCACGTCACTCCTTTATAAGCCATGGCGCTGGGTCATTGATGGCTCCTTATATATTTGGACCTCTTGGTGTTTTTATTTTCGGTTAATGGTTACTGACCATGATCTGATGTCTCTCCTTTGGAATACCTCATGTCTTGATGCCCTACTTGTTCTGTTTTGATTTTTGGTTTTTGTTGACACGACGCATTATAGATGATCTGTTATCCGTTCCTTTTTTTGTTGCAATTTCCGCGGGCATTGGGATACCACTCCTTCATGAAAAGTGTACAACTACTTATAGCATAGCATGGCGCTGCAGTCCTTCCTTCTTATTTCGCAGGTCGGGATATTTTTGAGACTGATGTAATGGGACATCTGGATTGGCGATGGGAAAAGTGTGGAACTTGGTTTCGGTCTTGGATGGGTTGCTTTTTGTCTTCTACTGCTGTCTCCCCAGTCAGTGCGGGATTCTAACAGTACTATCCAGCCATGTGTTATATTTTGAATCCTTTGGAGTCGCTCTGTTTGAACTTGCTTTTTGATTACTACTCTCTCCGACTCGAGATCTGCATAGCTTTGGCGTCTATGAACCTTGATTGATCTGTTCTTGGAATTGTTTATTCTGCTTCGACCTCCTTGTGTTAATTGGAACTCCTTGGCAGTGTTAATTGATCTTTGGTCTTTTGCTCTATACTTGTCTACATTGTATCCTCCCAGTAACCCTGCCCTAATAGTTGCCCCATCCGGCAGCGTTCTGCATGCCGAGATCGGGATCCGGTACCGTTATCTTATCGCGTCACCTGACCTGGCGGACGCAAATGCCAGGAAACAAACGCAAGGGAAAGTGAGTCAGTCAACATTCCCCAGCTCAATTGCAGTCTCGCCTTGCCTCCTCTTGCGCTCCCCTCTCTCCGCTGCAGTCGGTCATCTGGAGACCATTCTCCCTTGTCATCCCTTCCTCAACTCTCCCTTCTACTTTAATTCCTCACTCGCGCACATCCGACACTTTTTTCTTAGCCCCGCTCCCCCCACCATATTTCGGACATAATGGATGTGATCAAGCAGACGTTCGCCAGGGCTAAGCAGGAGAAGCGTGCGGCCCTGGTTTCTTATATCACTGCGGGTTACCCCACTGTGGAAGAGACGGTAGACATCCTTCTGGGCCTGGAAAATGGAGGCGCTGGTGCGTGACCGCTCCCCGATTGTTGAATCCCGCCACTCAACCCTTCCTACCCTTGCGAACGATTTCCCGCTGACCATATGCCCGTTCTTTGCAATTTATAGACATCATTGAAGTGGGAGTGCCCTTCACCGACCCGATTGCCGATGGTCCCGTTATCCAGAAGGCCAACACCAAGGCTTTGGCCAATGGTGTCACCGTCACCTCGGTTCTGGACATGGTCCGTACCGCCCGAAAGAGCGGTCTCAAGGCCCCCGTCCTGCTGATGGGATACTACAACCCTTTGATGCGATATGGTGAGGAGCGTATGCTCAAGGATTGCCGGGAGGCCGGCGTCAATGGCTTCATCATGGTCGACCTTCCTCCTGAGGAGGCCGTCCGCTTCAGAAACCTGTGTGCCAGCAACAAGTAAGGAAGACCCCATTGGATTTACGCTACATGACGACAATCCGTTGCGTTAGTACATGCTTACTGACCTGTTTGCGACAGCCTATCCTACGTCCCCCTCATTGCCCCCTCGACCTCGGAATCCCGCATGAAGCTCCTGTGCAAGATCGCCGACTCTTTCATCTACGTTGTCTCGAGAATGGGTGTCACCGGTGCCACCGGCACGCTCAGCTCGAACCTGCCCGATCTTCTATCTCGGGTTCACAAATACTCTGGCAACGTGCCTGCTGCATTGGGTTTCGGTATCAGCACCCGGGAACACTTCTTGTCTGTGCAGGATCTTGCGGAGGGTGTCGTGATTGGCAGTCAGATCATCACTACTTTGGGCGAGGCCCCTGCTGGTCAGGCGGCTAAGAACGCCGAGGCCTACCTTTCTAGCGTGACCGGTCGCAAGCTCGAGAGAGATGCTCAGGGCACGTTGGTCCGCGAGATCAAGGTGCTGGACCCCGTCGAGAAGCGCGAAGTCGAGGAGGGCGTTGCCCACCCCACGGCCGTTGTCACCGATGCCGGTAACCCTACCGGCCCCGGCTTGGCCGATCAAATCGATGCCCTGAACGGCACGGGTAACCCTGCCGCTCAGCCGTCGCGATTCGGTGAGTTCGGTGGACAGTACGTCCCCGAGTCGCTCATGGACTGCCTGGCCGAGCTGGAGCGTGGTTTCGAGCATGCCCTGACCGACCCCTCGTTCTGGGAGGAGTACCGTTCCTACTACCCTTACATGGGCCGTCCCAGCAGCCTGCACCTGGCCAACCGTCTGACCGACCACGTCGGCGGTGCCAACATCTGGCTCAAGCGTGAAGATCTCAACCACACTGGTAGTCACAAGATCAACAACGCGCTGGGTCAGATCCTTCTTGCCCGGAGACTGGGCAAGACCCGCATCATTGCCGAGACGGGTGCTGGTCAGCACGGTGTCGCCACCGCGACCGTCTGTGCCAAGTTCGGCATGAAGTGTGTTGTCTACATGGGTGCCGAGGATGTCCGTCGTCAGGCCCTGAACGTCTTCCGCATGAAGCTCCTCGGAGCCTCCGTGGTGGCCGTTGACGCCGGCAGCCGCACGCTGCGTGACGCCGTGAACGAGGCTCTCCGTGCTTGGGTCGTCGAACTCGACACCACCCACTACATCATCGGATCCGCCATCGGACCCCACCCCTTCCCTACCATCGTGCGTACCTTCCAGTCCGTCATCGGCGACGAGACCAAGCAGCAAATGCTCGAGCAGATTGGCAAGCTGCCCGACGCCGTGGTCGCCTGTGTCGGCGGCGGCAGCAACGCCGTCGGCATGTTCTACCCCTTCTCCAAGGACACGAGCGTCAAGCTCCTCGGTGTCGAAGCCGGCGGCGACGGCGTCGAAACCGCCCGTCACTCCGCCACCCTCTCCGGCGGCAGCAAGGGTGTCTTGCACGGCGTCCGCACCTACGTCCTCCAGGACGAGCACGGCCAGATCTCTGAAACCCACTCCATCTCCGCCGGTCTCGACTACCCCGGTGTTGGCCCGGAGCTGAGCTCCTGGAAGGACAGCCAGCGCGCGCACTTCGTCGCCGCCACCGACGCAGAGGCCCTGTCTGGTTTCCGGGCCCTCGCCCAGCACGAGGGTATCATCCCCGCTCTGGAGTCCTCGCACGCTATCTTCGGCGCTATGGAACTGGCCAAGACCATGAAGAAGGGCGAGAACATCGTTCTGAACCTCAGTGGTCGTGGCGACAAGGATGTGCAGAGCGTCGCGGATGAACTTCCTCGTCTGGGTCCTAAGATCGGTTGGGATCTGCGCTTCTAGATATCTACTTCCTTAATCAAAAACCGAAACCGAAACCAAAAAAATAAAATACAAAATATAGACCTATGCTTAGATTAAGGATATTGTTTAGTATGGGGTTTTCTTTTTTATTTGGATCGAGGTTTCAACTCTTCTAGTTCTTGGATCTTGATTCTTTGGGGGATTGGGGATGGGAGGGAGGGGAACAAAAATGTCACGCATATTTATTTACTTTCGGGCAGGGGTTTTTTCAATTTGCAATTTCTTCTAATCTATTCCTATTTCAACTTATCTATGTCTACTTCTTCCCGAATTTTTTCGGGACTATAATTCCGATTTCAAGTATCTCGCTCCTTTTCCCTGTCTAGTTATTGACGGAGACGGATTGGACAGGGGAAGGTCAAAAAAAAAAAAAGGTAGTTAGATACCCTATCTCTATTTTCTACTATTTAAGATTTAACTGGTTTTGCGTGGCATTGCAGGTATATGTGCGTGTTTCTGTAAGGCTATGATTATTCGAGATGACGGGTTGAAAATAGACATGGGGATTGAGTAGTGGGAGAGATGGATTTTGTGCGGGTTAATTTGATCAGTTCATGTTAAGCCGTTCATACTATAATCTGATATTATAGAAGTTTGTATGGCATTATGATATGATATGGTTTCTGTCAGGAGACGTACAAACTACGACGAACAACAATACAGAGAATGAATGATATATGCAAGAGTCATAGTATAGTATAAAGTAATGATATGATGACAAAGAGCAGAAAAAGGACAGCTTGAAAATGCGCAAGCAGGAATTGGAACATCAAAAAAAAGCAGGGCCAGAAACATAGATAGATATCTTTGCAACAAGACAAGAGAAGATAAGACAAGATACATAAATAAAGTGGAACAAAATCCTTTTCCTTCCTCTTTTCTATCGTCTCCCCCCGTAACGAGACACGGAGCGAGTAGATTAGGTTTCAATCAGGTCGGCGCCCTGGGACTGCGACTGGACCTGTTCGGGAGCGCCGGTGCTGTCTCTCGTGTCCTTGTTGGCGACCTTGCGGGCGGAGCGGGCGTAGAATTCGTCGAGGACGCGCTTGGGGATACGGTTGAGGAGGTCCTTGGGGTAGATGCGGAGCAGGTTCCAGGCGATGTCCAGGGATTCGAAGATGGATCGCGACTCGTACGTGGACTGGTTGATGAAAGAACGCTCGAACTTGTCGAGGAACTCGAGAGAGAGCTTATCTTCCGAGGACAAGGCATCCTCACCGACGACTGCCTTCATGGCGGCTGTTATTTGGGAGGCATCAGGTTAGTATGTGGGACAAAGAGTAGTTCCAACGGGCAAAGGCAGGACTCACCAGCATCTCGTCCGATGGCGTACTTGGCGTACAGCTGGTTGGACACGTCGGAATGGTCTTTACGAGTACGGCCGTCACCGATGGCAGACTTCATCAGACGGGACAAAGAGGGCAGGACGTTGATTGGCGGGTAGACACCCTTGTTGTACAGCTGACGATCAATGAAGATTTGGCCCTCCGTGATGTAACCAGTCAAATCGGGAATAGGGTGGGTGATATCTAGATGGAATCAGCTGGGTTCGGCATCGCTCTTTGATCCTTCTCCCTGCGGGGTCTAACGTACCGTCGTTAGGCATGGTCAAAATAGGAATTTGGGTAATAGATCCGTTGCGACCCTCCACTCGTCCGGCTCGCTCATAAATGTTCGCCAAATCAGTATACATGTAACCGGGGTAACCACGACGACCCGGCACTTCTTCACGAGCAGCTGAAACCTCACGAAGAGCGTCACAGTAAGCCGACAGATCAGTCATGATGACCAGCACGTGCTTCTCCAACTGGTAGGCGTAGTATTCGGCGGTCGTCAAAGCGAGACGGGGGGTAATGATACGCTCGATCCTAAAGGTCCACGGTTAGTCCACCAGTACATCACCAGCCACTAGGCACAGCGCAAAAGATATAAGGAGAAAAGACGTACGTAGGGTCGTTGGCCAAGTTCAGGAACAGCGTGACACGCTCCATACTGCCGTTCTCCTCGAAATCGCGAGTGAAGAATCGACTAGTTTCCATGTTGACACCCATAGCCGCGAAAACGATCGAGAAGTTGTCCTCGTGTCCGTCGTGGACGTCCTTGGTGGGCTTGTTGACCAGACCGGCCTGACGACAAATCTGAGCAGCCACCTCGTTGTGGGGAAGACCGGCGGCGGAGAAGATAGGGATCTTCTGACCACGAGCAATCGAGTTCATGGTATCGATGGCGGAGATACCGGTCGAGATCATTTCTTCGGGGTACACCTGTCCGTAACAATCCGTTTAGCCACCCGCAACCAGCCCGACACGCCTGGGTGATGAAAGCACGACCATGAACATACTCGCGAGTAAGGGTTGATGGGTTGACCGTTGATATCCAGGTAATCCTCCGCCAACACCTTGGGGCCCTTATCAATAGCGCGACCCGAACCATCGAAAACACGACCCAACATGTCCTCGGACACACCCAGCTTCAAGCTGTGACGGGTGAACTCGACTTTAGTCTGATACAGAGGTCAGCGGGCGTTCCAGATCCAGCACTCCGAAGCAGTTATTTACCCTCTTGACATCGATACCGGGAGTGCCTTCGAACACCTAGAAAAGCCGCCAGACGTTAGTATCTCGCGAAGGAAAGGAGGCCCTGAGGATTAGGGGTCGCTGCTATTTCTTAGGTCGTACCTGAACGATAGCTCGGCTACCTATTCAAAAAGAAGATTGTGTTAGTTTCCATGGCTAGATCTAGCACTGTCGCGCTCGACCAGCAGGGGACATACCTCTGGCTTCCAGGACTTGACCCGACCGCTCAGTTCCATCGGGGAGAGTCAGGGAGACGATCTCGTTGTAACGAGGGAATTTGACCTAGGACAATAGTCGTCAGCTTGCAAGCCACCCAGCGATAAGCTACAGAAAGCTTGAGAAACAGAAAGAGGCTGATCACCGGGGTGAACGTACATTGTCCAGAACGACCAGCGGTCCGTTGATACCTCCGATGGTGTTGTAGCGAATGCGAGGCTTGATGGAGGTCATGCGGGGGTCGACAAATTCGGACGCCATGGTGATGAGGTCCTTGGGAGCGGGGCCACGGAGAGATAGGGGAAAGCGATCGAGGGACGAGGCGGAAGGAGAAGGGGAGCAGCAGCTGGAGATCCGAGCAGACGTCGGGCCAAGTAAGTTGAGATGACGATTGCACGGGATTGGGTAGCCCCGCACGTGATGCGTCCCCGTTCCCCACCGCTTATTTAGTTGCCTCTACGGAGTATACTCTGAAGAACGAGATTCGGGATTTCTTGTAGACAATTCATAATCATATCGGTCCGGCTTGCCAATGGATCGTCATAATCATACAACAGGAGCAATCAATTACGCCACCAAAATGAAAAAGAACAAGAAAAACAACAGATGCGCCCGTGACCGTTGAACTATCGAGGTATCCGCAAATGAGCAAAACTATATCAATGAAAGAACAATAGTAAGAAAAAGGACAGTGACCGCGTTGCCATCGCTCTAGTCCACCTTCGCAAACGCCAGCTTTTTAGGAGTGGAGAGATTGTTGGACAGACGAATACTGGTGGCCTTCTTGTTCTTCGAATGCTTCTTGAGCTTCTTCCGTGCCACCATAACGGGAACCGACGAATGCATCACTAAGTAGTTGGAGAAGGATCCAAGGAGAACACTATAGAGGAAATGTTAGTGGGGCACTATCAGATGGGCCAAAATTCATCAAGCAGGACTGAACTCACCCCTTCAGAGCACTTCGGCCTCTGGCGCCGACAATCACCAGTGTCGGATCGAGCCCATCAATCTACGCAAGCACCCACATTAGCAAGTTCACGCACATAGGGAAAGTCTCAAGTGCCACATACAGCCTCCGTAATCATGTGTTTTGGACTCTTGCAATGGATTGCCTCAACGGCGACCCGAACCTGCAGCAGCGTCTTCCGCAATAGACGAACGCACGTCTGAGAGATGACCTCCACAGAATGGACCCGTTCAGATTCGATTTTCGACATTCCCCGACCATCCACCGAGCTGGGTTTGCTGTCCGTTCCCAGTCGGCCTAGTATCGCACGAGACAAGTTGGTCGACGAATCATTGTATGGATTTTGCGCCGTCTCTTCTGTCTGGGAGCCAATCACGGCTGCGGCATCCTGCATTGCTTTTGCGTTGTCACCGACCTGCAGTGTATTGGATGCGGCAGTCTCGTCGTGGATCGCGCAGACGGCAAACATAGTGTCGCCATCGCGAAGAATGGTGCCAATGGTCCATTCCAGAGCATATACCGACTCTTCGCTCAGATCGGTTGCAACCAAATACTTGCGCTGCCGGCGACGACCACCTTCCAGTTCGCCCGACTGCTGAGCGTAGTCCCCGCGAATGATAGTTCGAATCGACCGATTTTGGACGGAGCTGTCGATCGCGGACAGTTGGATGCCCAGTTGTTGAGCTCGTTTAATGTCACATAGCTCGGCTTCATCATCGGAGCCGAACGGCGTATTTGGCATGGAAGCGGCCGAGTCAAAGCTGGTCCGAGGATGGACATCGGGCTTCTTGGGAATTGGTCCTTGTTTGGAAGAGTGTGAATAGTCGGATTTCTCCTCGGCATCTGCAGTCATTACATATTAGTGCGCTGATATTGAAGATGCTGAGAATGTTTCTTGAGGTATAGGGATAAAGGGGAGAGAGACGTACTCTCTTTCTCTCCGACAGGTAGTGGCGGCGGGCCTGTCTTTGCACTCCCCGTTGAATTATCCCTAGCCGGAAGGATGATGTCGACCGTTGCTTTCCGTCCGCGCTCGGCGGTAGAATCATCATCGTCACTGGACGAGGAGTCGTCTGCTTCTTCGTCGCTCGTTTCGATCGGATTGTTCTCACTGTCATACATATCCTTCTCCAGGCGTTCATCCCCGGATGTAGACGGTTTCCTGTCGGGATCGGACGTCTCGCGACGATGACCAGGCGCCGGCGCAGGAACAGGCGTGGGCGTGGCTTGCGGCTTGTCGACGGTCTCGATTTCCACCGGCTTGGGTTTCTCGGGCGCCGGCTTCCCCGGATTTGAACTTGAATTGCGAGAGCTCGAGCCGAGCCATCGATTCCGCGGCGAACTCGAGCGTCCCAGTCGGGAAGAGGAGAGCCGCGAATCCAGCGAGGTTCCCCGAGCGGTATTGTTGCGACTCGAATCTCTTCCTCTGGTGAAACTCGGCAAGCCGACTTTCAAATCCAGGCCTGACATCACCGCAGCCATGGCATTTTTCTGGGGCGGTTTATTGGATGATTTGTCGGACGATCTGTTGGCGCGCCGGTTTAAGCTGTAGGTGGTGGTGCTGGGGGACATGACGACGGAATCATCCCAGCGAATGCTCGGCTTGGGTTTGCTGGCGACAGGGCTGGTGGCGGCGCTGTTGGAAGTTTTGTTATGGGGATGATCGGCCGTGGCGTCCGAGAGCTTTTTCTTCTCAAGAGCGGTGTTGTCGCTAAATCTGCGGGTGGTGGTGGCAGCGGCAGATGGACCGAATTCTTTGTCGGGCGAGGTGGAGGTAGGTTGAGAGGCAGCCGTCGCAGGAGCAGGAGGAGGCGCCACCGCAGTATTCACGCGCAAAGACGGGGCGGCCGGAACAGGGTCATGCCAACTGCGACGGTTGGACGGGGGAGTCACGCCAACTCCAATGCCGGCGATGGACCCATGTCGGGGCGGCAGGGCCTCGGGCGACTCGGGCGACGGAGCGATGTCCAGCAGACTCCGGGTGGTGGTCGCGCTATGATTCCGGCGGGAAGCTGCGGTGCGAGCTTCGAGCTCGCCGGCCAGCTCCAGGCGCTCCTCCTCCAAGGCAGCCGCCAGCGACATGCGGGCGGGCTTTCTCCTGTAGGGGGGCATCGTGGGTGGGCACCGGTCCTGCGGCGGTTTTGACAAGGTGTTGTGGAGAATCAAGTCGTGCCCGTCAGCCAGACCCCGAGAGAACCTCTGGTCTTGACCAAACACGCCGAGGGATGTGGAGAATTTGACGCTCTAGTGACGAGAGAGAGAAGGGATTAGTCTCGCCGGTTTCCGCATCCAGTTGAACCAAACACCAGAGTGGACACGAGAGAGAAAAAGGAAGGGAAAAACAAGGGAAAGAAAGAAAGGGAAAAATAGAGCCTTGTTTTTGCTCCTGTCACTAACAGAAAGGTTAAAAAAAAAGCCCCGCGACTTTCTCTTTGGCAAAGATGGTTTTAAGCAGTCCCTCCACGTGCAGGCAACCGTGTCAATCCCGACGATCTTCCACTAGTCGGTCTTGTCTAACAGTCGTGGTTGGGTCGGTTTAGGGCGAAGAGGGGCTGGACGAGCTGGAGCGACACTTTTCCCTCCGAGGTGGAGAGAATTGAAAATAATAATAAAAAGGAAACAGAGAGAGGGAGAATGGGAAGAGGGATCGTAGTAGTAGAAGATCAAGCGATCGACAGCTTCGTCAGGTGATGGAGGGATGAATGATCAGTTCTCCAGGATGTCTGCAAGGGACTCTCCCCAGAGAGAGGGGGAGAATGCAATAATTAAGGCGCAGGCAGAAGATCATCGAAGGGGCTGGAGAGTCTCGGCGCGGGGCAGAGGCGACCTTCATGAGGGGAAGAAAAAGGGATGATCGTCTCGCCAGCCGTTTGAGCCTTGGAGGTGTGTGAAGGTGGATGAATTCAATTCCCTCTCCCTTGCATACATCACAAGGCTTGACCAGGCGTCAATCTAAAGGTGTCACGACAGGAACGGAGTCTCTGTGTGTCCTGCCCTGTCTTTGGATGCGGCGTGCGTAATCATGATTATTGCCAATATGGAATAAAAAAATAGTCAAAGAAAGAGAAGGATAAATAAAAATAAATAAAGCGCGGTCTAGACTCCCCGATAATGCAGTCATGACCTCAAAGAATTTCTAAATAAAACCCATGTAATTAATTAAGTACAGGGAAGCAAGCTGATATTCCTAAAACCCTTAAACCCATCCCAACGTCCAATATACACCTGCACCCTTGTCAACGCCGTTAAATGTCTTCCTGATCAAGCCTTGGTCTTCTTCTTTTTCGATGTTTGTCGAGCAGCTGTCGCTTCGAACGCTGCCTCCGGGGGTTCGTCGAACTTTCCAGTCCGCTTCTTACCCCCGGCATACTTCTCCTCCAGCCGGTCGAAAAACGAATCCGCCCGGGAGGCCTGTCGCGCCTTGATTATTGATAGCAGATCGTTGTCATTCGCCGGCGTGTCCTTCTTTTTATTATTCTTCTGGGCCCCTTTCTTCTTGTCGTCTTTCTTCTCCTCCAGCTCCTTGGCCAGCTTCTCTGCTTCTTTAGCCTCCTTCTGCGCCCGCTTCAATCGCTGTTGTCGCTTCTTCTCCGTTTCATTGGCGTACTTCGCGTGTTTCTCGACCTTCCCTTCGTCGATGGCCTTGTCGATCATCGTGCGGAATCGATCGTCGTCGTCGATCACATTACACAACATGACAGACTCGTAGACCTTGTCCAAATCGCCGCGGAACTTATCAAATGCTGCGAGCACGTCCCGTTCTTCCTCCTCGGAACCCTGGTAGTCTTTCTTGAACTGATCTAGAGCATTCTCGTCGATCGCGCTGGAGAACTGTTCGCGATAGAAGTCCATCCAGTTGAAGTCGTCATCTTCCTCGATGGCTTCGGACGTGCTGCCGGTCAGATCGAATCGTTTGCGTCGTTTTTCGTCGGAGAGGATGGCGTAGGCGAAGGCGATCTGCTGGAATTTCTCGTTTGCTTCATCTTTGGAGTCGGCCGATACCTTGTCTTTTGCAGGTGGGGGACGTTGTCAGCACCTGCATCCTGACAGGGTAGAGTGCAGAACAGGGATGGGGTGAGTGGGGGTGGGGCTTACCTGGGTGATTCTTTAGCGCTTGCTTGCGATAGGCAGATTTGATCTGGTCCGGGGTTGCATCTTCGCTGACCCCTAGGATGCCGTAGAGGTCCGTCTCGACCGGCTGCGGGATTTCGTCTTGGAAGTCTTCGTGGTCGGACGACATTGTGAGGGAGGGACGACGAGGGTGGTGATCCAGGAAACGGGAAAGCTTGATTTTAGTTTCGGGCTTTTAACTCTTGTATTTTTCTGCCTCTTTCTCCGGGAGGGTGTCGAGAAGGTTGGAAGGTGAAGGCGAGTTGAACGACCGGCGAAGAGAAGACGCGACGCGAAATCACTTGAACTGCCCGATCGGGTTTAGCCCGTCTCCCCTCCGCCCAACTGAGGTCATCGCTTCTTCTCAATCTGTCCCTCTTCACTTCTCATTCTTCCTGTTGACTGATTTATCTTCCTGTCCCGACTATTACCGCCCACCATGAGCTCTCTTCACAGAAATTACATGCAACAATGCATCGGCCTCGCCGAAACGTCTCCTCCGCGACCAACCAACTTCCGAGTCGGCGCCGTGCTCGTCTCCCGCAAAGACGGCGATCTGTGGGCGGAAGACGACCGCATCCTATCGACGGGTTACACCATGGAACTGGCAGGCAACACACACGCAGAACAATGCTGCCTGTCGAATTACGCGGCCGTCCATTCGGTCCCAGATGACCGCGTGCACGAGGTCTTGCCTTCAGAACCGGGCCGGAAACTCGTCATGTATGTGACCATGGAGCCGTGCGCCAAACGACTGTCGGGCAATGCGCCCTGCGTACAACGGATCATCCAGACGAAGGAAGGCGGGCGCAATGGCATCCAGAAGGTTTACTTTGGCGTGAAGGAGCCCGGGACATTTGTTGGGCAATCGGAAGGGTGCCAGCGCTTGACGGAGGCGGGGATCGAATGGCATGTCGTCCAGGGGTTCGAGCGGAGGATTCTCGAGGTGGCGGTGGCAGGACATGAGAATCGCGACGAGGAGATCAGGTCAGCGCTGGATCAGGCTGAGACAAGACTGGATGACGTCAGTGACGATGAGCGGGAAAGACAGAGGCAGATGCCGCGGAATCCGAAGAAGCGAATGCTGTAGGCTGCGGATGAAGAGTCGGACACAAGTGCAACTGTAACACCACCGATGTACGGAGTATGTGGCGTCAAATGCCGATGGTGGGATGAGCGAGACGCATCGATTGTGTTCCCTTGGACCCGCGTAAAGTGCTAGAAAGCTGGCGCTGAATCCATCCAAGGTTGCACTGAGCATGACATATCCACGCTCGCCATCCAGTGTCTTGTATATAGTATAGACAAAGGTGTAAAAAGATGACCTGCTGGATTAATGGACTGAAGAGTGAAAAGATGTTGATAAGCGATAAGACCATCTTATCTCTTATCTACGATAAGATACCCCACAGTCGTGTTTTCCGGCGGACAAAGACGCCCGGCGGAAAAGACATTCATATACCTCTGGAAGCCCAGCAACAGCTAGCCGCCTGCATGTCAGTAAACATGGCATAATCGATGCAACCTAGCATACCCTCGCTCGCCCTTAATGCCAGACCAGCGCCGCCCCTATCGCTCCCACAAGGTGCCCGCCTGCGATCGATGCCGCCGATTCAAGCGGCGATGCACCGGCGGGTCTCCAGATCGGCCTTGCGTGCTGTGCCACCTACAGGAAGTGCCCTGTCTCATCTCAGCCAGTCCCAAAGCCCAGGCCGGGGTACGTCGCTCGTCTAGACGTGAACAGCGACGTGTTTTGCCCAAGCAGACTCCATCTAATGTTAATGTGACGGTCCATGCGACACCCTCGCAGGCCGACCCAGACGTCGGACAGGATGAGAGGATCGGGACCGATTATCACGGCTCGCCGACCCAGGACCGCTCTAAGATTGAGCTGTCGATGGTTGCGAGTCCGGTCATCTCCGAGGATATTCAGATTCTGGAGCGTTATATGTCTTCGAAAGCTAGTAGTTCCATGCCCGTTTCCGTCGACGGAAGCCTCTCTCATGCGGGGGCCAATCCAATGGTATATTTGAGAGTTCCCCGACGGAGAGAGGGCCTTGCCATGTCGGAGAACCCGGGCAAGCAGCAGAAGGAGATCTTACGGCAGATTCTCAAGCCGTATGCGGATGAGTTGGTCAGGCTGTAAGTCATTCTAGGGATAGCACTGTTTGGAATATGGTGGCTGCATTCAGACCAACTAAGGGCAGGGAACAGGTACTTTGATGAAATTCACCCTGCATTTCCTATGCTTGACCGCCAATCTTTCTTGGAGTTGTATAGAAACGGCGACAAGCTCTCCCCGGCGCTCACTTGTGAATTCTTTGCTCTGTCGCTTATCCTATGGCGACATTCGCCTACGCTCAGACAGTTCCCGAAGCCGGACTCGCAGTTTGTCTGGAATCTGGCTGTGGAAGCCTTGCAGCAGGATTTCCTAGCGCCTGGTCTGTCCACCGTCTTTGCCGTTGTGCTGGACATGATGGGTCGACCTGTCTATTCCGTACTTGGAAATACCATCAATAACGGCAAAGCCGTGACGCTGGCTCAGACATTAGGGTTGAATCGCGATCCGACAAAATGGAAGAGACCTGCTAGTGAAAAGGCATTGCGCATTCGGCTATGGTGGGCCGTTCTAATCCACGATCGCTGGTTAGCGATTCTTCCCCGTTCATGTGTATCGTTGCTTAACCTATCCCAGGTCCAGCTTTGCTCATGGCATACCGCCCATAATCACCAAGGGTCAACACGACGTGCCCGTCCCTCTCCCTCTAGATATCCTCTCCGATGCAGACCAATCTGAGAAGCACGCCAGAGCTGCTGAATGTTTCATGCATCTCTGCACCCTTACCAACATCCTCGGCGAAGTCCTTCCGCTCGCATATCATCTGGACGTAGACCAGAAACAGATCTGGAAACAGATCCGTCGACTGGAACTCGAGCTTTGCGAGTGGGAGGATAGTTTGCCCAGCTATCTTCAACCTAAAAGCGACGATCATTCAAGAGCGTCGGGTTCGAGTAGTCTACGGCTAGGGTATCTTTCCGTTCGACTTTTGTTGAATCGCATCGCTTTACATGTAAGCATTCTAAGCTCTTGTATCCTGAAGTCCAAGCTAAGATATATAAAAGGCAGCAACGCTTTCTTCCGATATCGACCGCTCAGAAAGCACACGCTACCACCTGTCCCAGCTGCGTCGGTCAGCGCACGACATCGTCAAATACGTGTGCTCGTTGACGAAAGCCCAACTACAAGAATTCTGGCTGCCCTGTATGCACAAAAAGCCCACATTTCTGACACATACCCACAAACCTAACCATCCTTAGACACCGCTCACCATCTCATCTTAACCGTCATCATCCTCCTGCGCTGCACCGTCGAATCCACCGACAAAGCCATCATCAACTCCTGTAAAACCAACCTTTCCCGCCTCTGGACGAAACTCCACGAGGCCGCCGAACGTGACGGCTGGGATCTCGCCAGCATCTGCATCAGCCAGTGCGGGGAGTCGGTCTCCAAGATCCTGAATAATGCGTCTGAGGTGCGTGGCGTTCCGAAAGAACAGCCTGACGAGCCGCATGCTTTGGAAGATGTTGAGGGTCCGGCGCCCGTGGATCTGTCGGGGTTGGGGATGAGTGGGAGTGGGCTTCCTGCGGATCTACTGCCGGATATTCTGCCCTTCTCGAATCCGGATCTCTCGTTTGATAATCAGTGGGATGTGGGCTCGTGGTATGGACTTGGGTGGATGGATATTGATAATATCTCGTACGAGGGGGTGAATCAGGGATTATTCACGTAATGTGCTTTGGGTTTAATGGGATGATGTATGAGATGAAATGATGTATGTACGTACACTTTCTAGTCTCTCTTGTACAAGGTTTTGATGATATAAACAGGATAGCTCCCTTAGGACTCTCTTCAGAATAACAAATGTTCCTCCACATTCCGATTTCCACCATGATCTCCCAGTTCTATTCTTCGAACCGGCCAATGCTCCGGATTCCCCGCATTCAAAGAGGATCGACCGAGTCAATTAGCCCTGACGACCTCATTTAGCCTGAATCACCCCTGCAGATCCCCATATTCCCATCGTCACAGCTCTTGACAAGCAACAAGTGGTCCCATCCCCCGCAATTAATATCCAAGGCAGAGATATAAAAACTCCCCCGCGCCAGATCCAACACGCCCTAATCATGAGTCCGTTCGACGTCCACCGCAGACATCTGTAGTCTTCATGTGGCAGCCTCTAAAATCCCTCGCCATTACCGTCATGGCAATGGCAGCCTCTAGCCTGGCTCGTCCGCTCAAAGACACCCCCTACACCAACCCGATCCTTGGTGGCTGGCACTCCGACCCGTCGTGCATCTACGTCGCCGACCACGACACCACCTTCTGCGTGACCTCCACCTTCATCGCCTTCCCCGGTCTCCCCATCTACGCGTCCAAAGACCTCCAGAACTGGAAACACGTCAGCAACGTGTTCAACCGCGCCAGTCAGATCCCCAGCCTCGCGGAAACCACCGACCAGCAGGGCGGGATCTACGCGCCGACGCTGCGCTACCACGACGGGAAATTCTACCTCATTGTCTCGTTCCTCGGACCGCAGGTTAAAGGCCTCGTTTTTTCGACTAAGGACCCCTTCCGCGACGATGCATGGTCCGAACCCCTCGAGTTCGCCGTTCGAGGCATCGACCCGGATATCTTCTGGGATGACGACGGGACCGTGTACGTCACCTCTGCTGATAACAATCGTATCCAGTCGTACAGTCTTGACCTCGAGACGGGGGCCACCGGGCCCATCTCCTACCTCTGGAACGGCACCGGCGGCGTCTACCCCGAAGGTCCGCATCTGTACCGCAAAGACGGATATTACTATCTGATGATCGCCGAGGGCGGCACCGAGCTCGGCCACAGGGAGACCATGGCGCGCTCGAAGCACCGCACGGGGCCCTGGGAGCCCTGTCCGGCCAACCCGCTGCTCTCGAACAAGAACACCACCGAGTACTTCCAGACCGTCGGACACGCGGACCTCTTCCAAGACGGCCACGGGAACTGGTGGGCTGTGGCGCTGAGCACGCGGTCCGGACCAGAGTGGGTGAATTATCCCATGGGCCGCGAGACGGTGCTGGTCCCCGCGACGTGGGAGAAGGGCCAGTGGCCTGTTATTCGGCCGGTGAGGGGGCAGATGCGAGGCCCATTACCTCGTTCAGACCGCGCCAGTCTCCAGGGAAAAGGGATAGCAGGGGGAGGAGCGTTCGCAGGAGACCCCGATAAGGTCGATTTCGTGCCTGGGTCATCTCTCCCGCCGCATTTCCTTTACTGGCGGTTCCCCAAGGACGACGTCTTCACCGTCTCGCCGCATGGTCATCATAACTCTCTGCGCGTTAAGCCGTCCTTCCATAACATCACCGGCGACGCGGGCTTCCAGCCCTCCGACGGCACGAGTCTCATCTTGCGTCGTCAGACAGATACCCTCTTCTCGTATGGCGTCGACGTCTCGTTCTCGCCGCGCGCGAGAGACGAAGAAGCAGGCGTGACGCTCTTCCTGACACAGCATCAACATGTCGATCTTGGGATCGTGCTTCTCAAGACCGACGAGGGAAAGGACTCGTTAGCGTTTCGATTTAGGCCCACTGGCCGCGGGAACTTCGACGGCCCCTTGTCAACGGAGATCGTGCCTGTTCCTGGGGACTGGAAGGGTGGACGGATTCGGTTGGAGATCCAGGCTGTGAGTGATTTGCGGTATATCTTCTCTGCGGCGCCGGCTGGGTCGGCAGGCAAGAAGGAGGTTATAGGTGAGGTGGATTCGTTGGTGGTGAGTGGGGATACGGGGAGGTTTACTGGTGAGTTTTTCTTTTCTTCCTCATTGTCTTTTTTAGCCGTCCTTCGTTGTCTTCTTTGTTGAAAAGGGAATATTACTGACGGTAACAGGTACTCTGGTCGGCGCGTATGCCACAAGTAACGGAGGGAAAGGGTCGACAGACGCGTATTTCAGTAAATGGAGGTATAAGGGAGAGGGACAGAAGATTGACCATGATGTTATTGTGCCTTCACGGGATTGGTATGATGGTCGACGTATGGCGAGAGAGGGAGGTGTTGCAGTTTAAGAAAAGTCGCTAGTAAATGCCAATTCATGAACTGGAGAATAGATTGTTTTAGTAGATATGGAGGATGGAGCTGTCTATATAAAGCTGAATATACACAGTGCACTGGATCTCTGATCTGATGTGTGATAAATACTATTGTCAATTCCTCCAAAGACAACATTAATATAGGTGTTGTCTGGGTCTACTTTATGTAAATGATACGTCGTCTCATGTGATAGAAAGAATGCAGGTTGAACCCTGTGTATGAGAACTGCGTGTGATGACTTTTACTAGAACCGTTCGCAAATGCACATCTCAGAGCCGGTTGAAAAGTCGTACAGATGTAGAAGACGATGAGATGCATTAGTTAGCGTGGTGGGGTCATCTGATTGAGTCCTATCCACCCTACATCCCATTCTATCTATCTCATCTTCATCACAATATCCATCTATTTACTATCATTACTTGACTACCAAATATCAATATCAACATCACCATCACCATCATGTCCTCCATCCCATCAACTCCACCACCCAACACCAACAATCCACCCACCTCCCCCTCCACTTCCATCAACCAACAACTCCAACAACAACACTCCTCCACTCCAGAACCCCCTCCCAACACCACCAACCCAACCCCCGAAACCAACATCCAAAGCGAAAAAGAGTCCCACGAAGCCAAAACCGCCTTCCTGGCCACCCTCCACTCCGTAGGCCAAAACCACGAGACCCAGATCCGCGACCGCGCACGCGTGTTACACACCAACGCCCAGGCCCTCTCGAAACAGGAAAACGAGCTGCAGGCCGCGACAGAGGGGTTGCGGAAACAGAATGATCAGTGGGCGAAAGTCGCGGATCAGGCGCGGGAGGGGTTGAAGGAGATCGGGGATGTGCAGAATTGGGCAGAGTTGATTGAGAGGGATTTATTAGTTGTGGAGGAGGCGGTGCGGTTGGCGGAGGAGAAAGAGGAGAGAGTTGAGGAAGAGAGGGAGGGGCGGGGAGATGGGGAGGGGAATGGAGGGGTTGTTGGGAATGGGCATCTCAGGGAACAGGAAGGAGGTGAAGATGGAGATGGGAAGGATAAGGGGAAAGGGAAGGGGAAAGGGTGGTTTTGGTGGTGATTTAATGTGGTTCTTCTCTTGTTTTGGGTGCTGTTATACCTCCGTGATTGATCAGTGTATGCTTTTTGTTCAAAGGAATGGATCTGGTCTCTTGTGGTATGTCGAGCTCAAGTCTGTCTAGGGTCTAGACAGCATCTTCTGTCATGTCCTACAATTTGGGCCTCTCTGTCTCTCTTGATAGTCATGTTCCCCATGAAGAACTGTATATTCCATAGTCGGGAGAATTGGCCAACGTTGGCCTTCGCTCCTCAAATTCAGGCTCAAGTACTATGTCCATTTCTAATCAACAACTGTATTACACTTCGTAATCGCTATATGCTGCTCATCCCGCAAACGCCTTGATGCCCCAGCCAAGCTTATTGCAACATTCGGGGCAATGATATGTATTAAATAGTTCGCTGTGCACGCAAAATCACTGAAATCACTGAAAAATAACACGAAAGATGGAAAAAAAAAATACACTTTCTACATACTGGCCAGCTCTTGATCAATCTGGCGATCCAGGAACGCCCGCTTGTCGCCAGTCAACGTCGTCTGAAGTCGCTGCTCAACCAGTGCACGAACTGCGAGGGAATTATTAGCATGTCTTCTCATAACACAGAGTATGGCTTGGCTCACCTTGCTTCTTCGTTACCGTGTCCAAATCCACCTCCGCCAATGTTCCCCGGATGGCATCTGTGATCGCCATCTCGTCAGGCCCGCCCGTGCTGCCTCGGAAGTCAAATGCGCTCTGCGGTCTCGACTGGAACCCGCCGCCCACCGGGCTGCGCGAGTGCGGTCGAGCACCCAACAGATTGTCCGTGCTCTGCATCAGCCCAACGCTATGTCGGTTCGTGCTCATGCCACCATCGTTGAACTGACTGAGATTGCCCATCGATTGTCGGGGCGTATGGTGACCCTGAAGTGGCATGTCGGTGTATCGGCTGAAGCTGGACATGTGCGAGCTGCGGTTGCCGGGCATGTTGCCGCCGAACGGAGCCGGCGACTGCGGCGGCATGTAGGGGTTACCGCTACGGCCCTGTCCGTGGAATCCCGTCAGGATCGTAGAAGCCGGCTTGACGGACGAGTACTGGGAATGCATGTCATCCATCTCCATGGCCATGTCATCTCGGTACACCCCGTTGTACACCTTCTCCTGGCTCATGCCGTAATCTCCACGGCGGCCCGGGAGGTTGTTCGCAAGAGCGTAGTCGTCCCAGCGCTGCAGTGGAATGCTGCGCGGGTCAAACGGCTCGTCCTCCACGGCGACAACCCGCTTGGATCCCTTCTCTCCGATGACCACACGCGTGCTTCCCCAACTGAAGTCGTCCTGCTTCCAGAACGAGTACAGGGGCAGGATGAAACTGTAAACTGGATAGGCACAGATGTAGATGATCATCCATCCGATGTGCTGCCACTGTCGCTTCAAAATGAAAATGATAGCCTGAAGACCATACACACCGGCCAGAATAGCGATGGAAATCACTGGCAACGGGCCACCCCTGGCCACGCGGTAGATCAGGTATCCCAGGTAGACGCACGTCGCCGGAAGAATCACGGTTCCGATCAGGTCGACCAGCACGACGAAACGCATACTGAAACAGCAGAAACCGCAGAGATCTTTCAGGGCGGCCAATTCCACCAGGTTGTGCACCGTCGAGTTGATCCAACGACGTCGCTGCGAGAGCAAGACGCTCCATTCCTCTGGCGCCGCAGTACTTGCATAGGCATCCGGGATAAACTTATAAGACATGGTCGGGAAGTGCTTCGTCATCAACGTGGTTAGATAACGATCCTCTCCCAGCGAGAGTAGGTTCTTCTTATGCAGCGTGTCCACGTTGATATCGGCATACTCTTGAACCAGTTTGTCCGCAACGATAAGAGGGCGACCCTTGTCCGCGGTTCGAAGACGGTACATGCAGAAACTAAACAGGTCAGCAATTGAACAAGGGGAAAATACCGGCGATCAACTCACCATCCAGGAAGACAGGTCACACTGCCGAAAAGAGATTCGAATGCTTTGGCCAAGTGGTGAGAGATGTAGTACTCGTAAACCTGAATCATCGTCCACCAGCTGCGTCCCTCGTTCTGAAGACTGGTCTCACCGCAAATACCAGCAATGCGGGCATCGTTGGCGCAGGCAGCCACTAAACGGTTGAGCGAATCTTCGCGAACACTGGTATCCGCATCTACCATGAGACAGTATTCATACAGCTCGGGGTCGACACCGATTACGTTGTTAATCTGGTGGAAAATCTCCAGTTCGAGAGGCGACATCGGAGCACGGTGGTGCACGCGATTGAGGAAGCTGAGGATCTGGATCTGAGAGTCACGCTTACCCCGGTTACCGGGCTTGGACTTGCTCTGTTCGGACTCCTTTCCAACCTTGACCACAACAATGTACGGCACGACGTTTCCTTCGTACTCATACAAGCCGGAGTAGACTTTGCCGTAGTTCAGTTGGTCACTACCCTGTCCAATGGACTTGAAAGGCAAGGCCGGAGGGTCGATCTTGGGATCAACTCCGAGAATATCCAGCACGATCTTGGGCGTGGGGCGGTCGTTACCGCCACCGACAATCATACCATCACAGATCACGTAGATGAGCTTCCTCTTGTTGTCATACTGGAGGGCCGTCAAAGAGTCAAGGCCCTGGCGCAGCGCATCCTCACCTTCCGTGTAAGCAGGCACAAGGCAGATGACAAACTTGTCCTGCGGCGCGGGCCGACGTTTGGTCCCAAGCTGAAGGGCAGCAAGGAATTTGACCAGGACGACAGCGCAGATCAAACAGGTGAACGACAACAGGATCCAGTTATTGACTGTACACTTCGGCTCGTCACGGAAGTCCGTGATCCCCTTTTTGAAGACATAGTCAAGACACTTTTGAGCTTGATCCGCTTCAGTCGACGTTGGCCATTTGTCCGTGACATCTTCGCCGGGATTGTTCTTGAACAATTCCGTGATGCTGTTCGGTAGGAAGCTGTAATCGTCGCCATTGTTCATGCGTTTCAGGGTGTAAAAGTAATCCGTCAGGTCGTAGATGTTCTTGTCCTTGATCACCCAATACCGTTGATCGGAGTCGGCTTGTTTGGAGACAGTGCTCTTCTTCCAGACCAGGTCTCCCTTGTAGTATTCCTTGATCTTGGGCAAGAACCTCTTCTCGTACCAAGTGATGTCGTGCAATTTGGTGTCCGGGTCCGGCTGATTGCGGGGGCCGCAGTCGTGCTTGGCGTTAGCGTACTGGACGGCGTCGGTCTTGTTGTATTGCAGGCTGATTGACTGATCGGTCACGAATGGATCACAGAAACGCGTCAGCGGAGGAGGAAAGTACGGGTCCATGATCTGTCCCATGAAAGGCTCCATGTTCGACGAGGTAGTTTCGATGTTGGAATCACTGTGCTGTGTCTTCGCAAATTTGCTGATGTCGTAGACCTTGCCGTGAATACTGACGTAAAAGTCATTGCTGCCCTGATGATAGCCCAGTTCTTTCTCGTTCCAGGCCTTGTCCTTATTCGGGCAAAGCAGATCACCAAACGCCATGATATAGAAGCAGACAGCTGCGTTAAAAAGGAGGATGAGGAAAACGAGCACCAATTTCTCTCGCCATGCCATGCGCACATCAGGCCGCTTCATTCGGCCGACGTATCTGAGGACAAACGACGGAATCCAGAACGTCATAGCCCAGACAAATCCGACCCAGACACGCCGACCAAGCGTCATCTCTTGATGCTCAATATGGTGTGGCTGGCCGAATTCGGGGTCCAGTTCGCCGTTATAGTACGGGTTGTCCCATTTCTTTTCATCGCCTTTGGAGCCCAATCCGTAGTCACCGCCCATGTTAAGCGTTTGCGCCGCGCTAGGTGCAATCGATTTGGCGCCGCCGCCAACACTGGGAGCGAGCATGCTTTGTCGCTGCAACAGATTGTCCCGGCTGCCGAGTAGGCTGGTGGACTCGGCCATCGGTGTGTTTGCATACGAAGGAACACCAGCGTCAAGCATGCCAGAGCCGTACATAAACGGGTTGACTGCCGGCGACTCGTCCGGTTTCATATCAAGCATAGTTTCAGCTTCCCACCACGCGTTCTCCCTCATCCAGATCCGTTGGTGGCCGACGACGGCGTCCCCGTTGGTCCAGCCTCTCTCGAGGAGCCAGTTCTCGACGCCATCCTTTCCCTCGGCGCAACCAAGTCTGGCGTATCTGCCAATAAACTCGTCCACGTCGAAATCGGCTGTGAAATCAAGCTGCTTGAGACGCCGGTTGGCCCATTCGCTCAGTCGCCACTCGCGAATCTGACGCGATACCGTGCCCGCAGTCCAGGCCGCAGAAGAGGGGAGCGAGGCCAAAGCCTCGGGCAAGTCATCGGTTGGATGAATGGAGATGTGATGCCAAACGCGACTGCTGCCCAGCACGGTCGCAAGGTCGAACCGTCCCCTCTGGCCGACAGTGATGCCCTCGGATTCCACGGGTAGAAGGATCTGGCGGAGAAAAGCGTCCGCCTCGACCTCTAGACTCACCTTCTCCAAGACCTCCTGTCGCTTGTCCATTTCGTACTCGCGTTCGCGCCACGCGGCTCCGATTGTGATTCCTAGATCCGCTTCGACCTGAGACACGGCAGCGGTCGTTTCATTCAACACAGCGTGTCCAACGAATGGAGTTTGAACTCCATCCTCTTTCATTTCAGCGTTGATACCCAGGTTATCATCGAACACGCCTCTCATTGCCACAGCCTTACCAAGTGCAGGCCTGGGGATGTCCACAACGGTGATGCTTACGGTGTCGTCGTCGGAAGTGTGGCCACCCCGACCCGAGGCGCCACTGCTACTGGGGTCATTTTCATGAATCGACTGGATCTCATTCGCAATCGCCTCGTTGGCTTTGCCGATGACCCAGTCAACCAAGGCTTCGTAGACGCCAGATATGAGAAAGCCCCGGTCATCGGTCGAGCATTTTTGCAGGAGGACTTCCGGATCCAGTCCCAGCAAGCCCCCGACATCCTCGCAGGCTTCCTCGAGATCCTCCTGATCCACCAAAAAGCCCGCCGCATTCCCCAACTTCAGCAGACCGGCAAGCACCGAGAGCAGGCCTCGCTGAGCGGCTCCTTTGATACCAATTGCCTTCAGCGCAGCGCGGAAATCCTCGGCGGAGGCGGCATCGTCAGCGGTGGGGAGATACGAGGGAGGCGAGTACGTGCCCGATTTACTGAGCAACGCATACGCGGAGGGCTCCTTCAGATCCAGGAACTCTCGCTCTGCTGGCGTCGAGGCCGCGGTTAGAAGATAATAAAACACATCGAATGCACGATACCCCGGCTCAGAGGGGATGTCGAGGAAGCCCTTTTGCACATTGATACCCGAGGTCGAGAGCGCCAGAGAAAGCCCCGTGATATCGCCCTTCAGCGTCAAGGTGTAGCAAGCGGAGAAGGCGGAGTAGAGGGAGTAGGACGGATTGAAGGATGTGACGGCGGAGAAGAAAGGTCGGAGCGCGGCGAGTGCGGTGAAAGTGATACTGGGTGTGGAAAGAGGCAATGCGGTGAGGAAAGGCTCTAGAAGAGATGGGGTTGACTGATGGGTCGAGCTGGAGGTGAGTGGTTAGTAGACAGAGAAGCGACGTCGGGCAACCTGGAGCGAGACGAACCTTAAGACGATACAGCCATCCTCTGCTCTTCTCCTCGCATGTTCCCATGCTCGGACAGGCAATTCCCGATCAATGATGCCACCCTCGTGACCATCCGGAGTGGGTTGAGTAGCAGTAACCCAAGTATTGACGGCCAAACTGGTGCCCGCGTCGAGCTGATACGGTTGCCCCGAATTGTAATAGGCGTGCAACGCATTTAACAAGGTTGTCGTTGACATTTGACCGCCGGACTGAGGGGTCGGACGAGCGCCCGGCATCCCAGCCGACTGGGTGGAGTAGACTGAGAAGCGATTCGACATGGTGCGGTTCGAGTCACGCAACGCAGCGATCTAACGATTGTGACGGCGAGATGCGCGCCGCGAGTGATTATGGTAACCTAAACACGGAGTGTGAGAACTGAGCAGAAGGTCATCGCCTTGGGTTGATTACGCTGGAAACTTGACGGTCAAAAGAATCGATGCATTCGAACGATCGTTTCGTTTCTCTTTGACCCAGGTGAAATCTAGAAGGGTTCTCTCGTTGGGGAAAGTGGGATGAGGTTCGAGATGTGGAATGGAAGAGCGGTCGGCTTCACGGGCCTGGTTGGAATGTCGTTCGTCGGTCTACGGAGGAAGCGAGTGGCCGGAATGTGGACGAAAATAGCGAGTGCGAGGTCGAGATGATTGCTGTCAACAAGGTGGGAATTAATCCAGAGCGAGCGACAGGGGAGAATCAACAAATAATTAAGCCCAAGTAACGAAAGAAGAGGGTGCAGAGGAAGAATGAGAAACAAAAACGATGCAAAAAGCGCAGCTCCAAAGGTGACACCCGAAAGGAAAAAACCAAAACAACGGAGGCAGGCTGACGATTGCCGGGTGGATGATAGTCGAGAAAAGAAGAGGCGAGCGCGAGCGATTCAGTCCATCCATCCCCAGTTGCTTAACTGTTTGGGGTTTAGGACCGGCCTGGACAGATGCCCATACGAAAATTACCATACCCATTACAGTCAGTCCCTCGGCAGGAGTGAACAAGTTTAACTCACTTTGATTGAAATCCGAACCGATTGGGAATAGTGAGAACTTTGCTCCGTCCTACATTGCCTTAGCTCTCCACTAGCCTGCCAGGACTAGTGAATTTGCAAGAACATTCGGTCGCTTGATTCCCAGACTACGATAGTACTACTCAGTATACTAAATTGTCTAGGTGTCCCGAATTAATACTCAGTTAATTGAGACTGACTTGTTCCCCCTGTCGACAACGGCATACGAGGTAAATTTGTCGTCTTTTGTTTATTTGCCTTTTTCTCTTTCTTTTTTTGGGTGGCTGTTACGAACCTGTCAGGTGGCGTACATCAACCTTTGGACACGGCCAATGAAGGCAACGGAAAGGGTCAGATCCGTGGCCCTAGACCCTGGCAGACCCTATAATTGGCACATTCTGTCTCACCCGCACTAACAGTCTAACAGAAACAAGTAACCTTCATGGTCAACGGGACACTTTGGGCTTTTTGTCTCAGACACTCCATCCCCCCATAACTTGCCACCAGGTCAGAATTTACAGCCTCTCCTGTTGGTGGTGTTCTTCCTTAAGGCCTTTTCTATTTCCGGAGTCTCTAAGAATGGAAGTTGTCATATGGTTAGTGGCCAGTAATGCAATATGTATGCATCCTTCTGCGTTGGCCGGCCCTTTGATGTGGTTATTTTTAATTCTTCGCCTTTCCCCTAGCAGGGTCTGGCCGTGTTCCATGAATGTGTCCTCTGCAGAACATCCCTCGTACAGGAGACATTGGATCCGCGACCGTGTAAATTTCAAATCTACCTAGTGAAGGTCGCAATTCTTACTCAGTTACTGTAGAGACTGGAAGTGTTCTGGGTAAATTAATTCGAGATCCTGGAAGCAATCAGTTCGCTCCTAAGGGGCGATTCTGTTCCGTGCTGAGTTCAATGCAAACTGCAAATATTTCGGACTTTCTTCCACCGCCTTCCAGCGGATGACTACCCCCACTTGGAGAAGTCCCTAGTTTCAGTCCTTTCCTGTTTGAATGTCACAGATCGAATGATCCGATCCACCGCCGCGGATTCTCTCCTCCCCCTTCGAGTCCTCTCAATCCCCTCCATCGCTCCTTCTCGCTCAATCAGGTATTTCCGAGGTCGGGGCGACGCAATCGATCTTCGACGTACTTATGACATGTCCTCTGTACACAGGACCGGCTCTCATTATTACGCCCGGCGTAGGCACGGTACCGGGCATGCGCAATATATTTAATGAAGACTGAGTCGTATGGGCACGAAGAGGCTACCGACAAAATGGGAGAGAATTAAGATGATGGATAACTGCCTCCTTTATTGGGTCCTCCGGCAGTCGAACTGGAACCATCGTGATTTATTTATACCTAGCGTTAGCAGGGACTAGAAAGTAGGGAGAAGGGAGGGTGACATGTCAAATATCATCAATATGGCAAATGGTCGCCCCCTGACGGGATCGATTGAGCAAGTGGCGTTGAATGATTGACATGAAAATTGACAGACGGTATTTTATTTCTTTTGAATTCTGCCATCATTGTGTTTCAGTTGACTCCGTAGTGGTGCATCACAAGCAACGGAGGGGGGCTATTAATAAACATAAACGATCTCAACCAAAGGCTGAGGCCAACATTGCAGGGACGGTTCGACCGACCGGAAGAGACGCTCCCCACCCGGGTGGAGGCCCTCGGTTGCCCAAACCCATGACGAATGATCACCCCGTTCAATCTACGTCGTACGGGATACTGATATTAACTTGATTACGAAGTCGTCCATGCAAGTACAAGGAATTGAATTTCATGTCGACCGCATGGAATGCAGTGCGGGAAGCAAACCACGGAAGGGCAAGTACTCAGGTACCTCGAGGTAGATCCGTGGACGACGGACGGTCCGTAGAGAGTAGAGAGTAAAACTTACCGGCCAGATAGTCCAGACGCTAGTAATTTGAAAAACGGTCCCGACCGCTGGCACTGCCCAGGTGCCCACCGGTACAATACTCAATACCACACTTACCCATTCATCACTTGTTGTTGTTTCTCCTCTTTGCGGACTTTCTTTTTCCATCTTTTTTCCCCTTCGTCTTCTCCATCCTCATCCTCATCTTCGTCTTCATCGTTTGCGCGTTGCCCCTTCTGCTTGTACTTTAATGATTACAGCGTCAACTTTCGTTTACTTCGACCTAATCTCCCTGTACACGATCGCTTTCCCGTTAATTTAGATCCACTCGTCCCCCCCCATCGTCTCTCGCTTTTTGGTGTTCGGGACTCTGGTTGTTTCAAGTCAGATTCGATCCGCTCACCCCTCAGGTAATCAACTGTTATCTACCGCAATTCTCCTGTTTGACGATCAGCTCGTCCATTCCGCTCGTCGCGCAAGCAATGTTCTCGTCGCCTCTCAGCTACTAGGAATCTCCCATTCATCAGTCGCAGCGACGACCGCCACATTCGTGCTTCCGAAACTAGTCTTCCGTCGGTCACTTCATCCAGTCGATTCAGTCGGATTCCTGGGTTTTTGCTCGGAAGTTTTGGTTTTTAATTTCTCCCGGGCTATCGCAATCCGACTTCTGAAATTCGCGAATACTCCCCCGTGTCGAGGGCCTCGACACCCCCAGCAATATGGTGGGACACTCCCCAGCGGGAACGACCCCTACCCACGCGCAGTCCTCGCTGCCTTCGTTGCCGTCGCATCTGCAGTCGGACACGCACTTGACGGCGCATCTAGCCAGCCGGTATGGTTGCATATTTCCTTTTTTGATTGCCATTTACTCTGTTGGTTCAGGTTACTGATCCGAGGACTATCTCACAGATTCCATGTCGGTTTGCCAACTGCTCGCCTGTCGTCCCAAGCCCTAATCAGTCTCAATACATACACTTCGTCATCCAAGGGTCCCGATGGCGCCAAAGAGGGTAGTGCCATGGGTGAGGCCGAGGACCTCGCCCGGCGTGCTTTTACCCGCCTTGGGTCTCGTGGCGAGAACCAGGCCGTCGTTTTTCTGTAAGCGCCAATATCCGGCCTTCACATATGATGAAGAACGTACTAATTTATCTGTAGAGGAGAGAGCGGATCGGGAAAAACTACCATTCGTGCGCACGTGCTGTCAGCGTTCCTCTCGTTCTCATCGACTCCTTTGTCGTCCAAACTCTCGTACGCAGCGTTTGTTTTCGACACCCTGACCACCACCAAATCCCTGACCACACCAACCGCGTCGAAGGCCGGTCTTTTCCTAGAATTGCAATACGATGGCTCGACCTCCGTTAACCCTACCTTGATTGGCGGTAAGATTATTGACCACAGGCTTGAGCGGAGCCGTATTGCTTCGGTCCCTACCGGCGAGCGAAGCTTCCATGCGCTCTATTATCTCCTCGCTGGCACAAGCGCCGCCGAAAAAGGCCATCTGGGCTTTGACAGCCCCGTTCATGTTTCCACGGGCAACAAGCTGTCATCGCCCTCCATAGGTCACAAACGGTGGAGATACCTGGGTCATCCGACGCAACTGAAGGTGGGCATCAACGATGCCGATGGGTTCCAGCATTTCAAGACAGCTCTCAGAAAATTGGAGTTTCCTAGGAGTGAAATCGCCGAGATCTGCCAAATTCTTGCCGCCATCTTGCATATCGGCCAGCTGGACTTCATCAGCGGACAGGCTACCACTACGTCTGCCGAGGAATCTGGTGGGTATTCTCACGAGGGTGGTGAAACCGTCACCATGGTCAAGAACAAGGAAGTGCTCTCGTATGTCGCTGCTTTCTTGGGTCTGGGTGTTGAGGAGCTTGAAAATAGCTTCGGATACCGGACCAAGACGATCCACCGAGAGCGAGTGACCGTTATGCTCGATCCCAAAGGTGCACGTCAGAACGCTGATGAGCTCGCGCGGACCATCTACTCCCTCATGGTCGCCTACGTGCTTGAGACCGTCAATCAGAGGATCTGCGCCGCGGAGGATAGTGTGTCCAACACTGTCTCCATCGTGGACTTCCCCGGATTTGCCCAAGCATGTTCTACCGGATCCACCCTCGATCAACTCCTTAGCAACGCAGCAACGGAGTCACTGTACAACTTCTGCCTGCAATCCTTCTTTGAACGGAAGGCCGACATGTTGGAACGCGAGGAAGTCAACGTACCTGCCACAAGCTATTTTGATAACACCGATGCCGTGCGTGGTTTGCTGAAACAGGGCAACGGATTGCTCAGCATCCTCGATGATCAGACGAAGCGCGGAAGGACAGACGCCCAGTTTGTTGAATCGCTGCGGAAACGATTCGAGAACAAGAATCCGGCTATCTCGGTGAGCAGCTCCAATGGAACTGGCTACGTGTCCCAAGGGGCACGCTCGGCTTTCACAGTGAAACATTTCGCTGGTGAAGTTGACTACTCTGCCGACGGTTTGATCGAAGAGAACGGGGAAGTTGTTTCCGGTGACCTCATGAACCTTATGAGATCCACAAGAAGTGATTTCGTGAGAGAACTCTTCGGTCAGGAGGCGCTGCAGACCGTGACACACCCCAAAGAGAAAACCGCCATCATGCAAGCGCAGGTCAGCTCGAAGCCCATGCGAATGCCAAGCATGGCGAGGCGAAAGGCGAGTCCCGCATCTCGACTAGCATTCGATGCCCCCGTTGCAGAAGACCAAGATGAGTACGAGAGCCAAGTAGGCAGCACGAAGAACTCCAAGGGTGGTCGAAAGAGCATGATGTTCAACAACGGCATGCAGGGCGCCGCGGGTCAGTTCCTTGCCTCGCTTGACATTGTCAACAAATGCCTGAGCTCAGCCGATGTCAATCCCTATTTCGTCTTCTGTCTCAAGCCCAATGACCGCCGAATTGCCAATCAGTTCGACAGTAAATGTGTGCGTGCACAGGTGCAAACATTTGGCATCGCCGAGATCAGTCAACGGCTCAGAAATGCAGACTTCAGCGTATTCCTTCCCTTCGCCGAGTTCCTTGGTCTGGCTGAGATCGGCAACGTTGTGGTGGGAAGCGACAAGGAGAAATCTGAGGTCGTGTTGGATGAAAAGCGGTGGCCCGGGAATGAAGCTCGAGTTGGCAGCACGGGTGTGTTCCTCAGCGAACGCTGCTGGGCAGATATGGCCAAGGTTGGAGAGCGAGTCGTCCCCGTTTATCCGGCCGAGGGCTCGGATGAGGGCGGCGATGGATTGCTCCATCCTCGGACTGCCGGCTACATGGACTCTAAGGTTCGCCTTCTGAACCCGGCGGACCAATCTCCTGGCACCTACATTTATGGGGATGACAACAAGCAGGGCTATTTTGGAAGCCGTGATATGGATGGACGCTCCGACGCCGGCGGCTCTGCTTTCAACTCGGGCGACATGTTCCGTAATCTGGAAACGAAAGAGCAAATGCTGGAGAAAGGAAATGAGAAGAAGATGGAGGAGGTCGATGAGACGCCTATCTCTGGTAGTCGCAAGCGCTGGATGGCTATCGTCTACCTTCTTACCTTCTATCTGCCTGACTGGGCAATTAAGGTCTTCGGCCGGATGAAACGGAAGGATGTGCGAGTCGCCTGGCGCGAAAAGTTCGCTATCAACCTGATTATCTGGTTCAGCTGTGCTCTTGCGATTTTCATCATCGTCGGTTTCCCTGGTCTCATCTGCCCTACACAACATGTCTATTCCGCTTCCGAGTTACAATCGCATGATGGCAAAGATGGGCATAACTCTTACATTGCCATACGTGGCGTGGTTTTGGACCTGGACAAATTCATGCCCTCCCATTATCCCGATATCGTGCCGCAGTCCGCACTGAAAAAGTATGCTGGTGTTGACGCGACTGGTCTCTTCCCGGTGCAAGTCTCAGCTCTCTGCCAGGGCAAGTCTGGCAAGGTTGACCCGTCGGTGCTCTTGGATTACAAGCCAACCAACGTGTCTGGTTCGGCTAATACGATAAGCACTGGCGACGTCAATGCCAAATACCATGACTTCCGCCACTTCACGAATGACTCGCGTCCGGATTGGTTCTACGAGCAAATGCTGATGCTAAAATCGAATTACAAAAAGGGTTACATCGGCTACAGTCAAGAGTACCTGAAGACACTGGCCGAGAAGAAGTCGAAATCAATTGGAAGCATCGACGGCAAAATCTACGATCTGACGGATTACGTGGCTGGAGGCCGAAGAACGCAGGCCCCTGCTGGCGAAGAGGTTCCGTCTGGCGTCGACCGCGATTTCATGGACCCGGGTGTCGTACAGCTGTTCCAGCAACTTTCGGGCCAGGATATCACGAAATACTGGGAGAACCTGAATATCGACGAGGGACTCCGGAGTCGAATGCAACTCTGCTTAGACAATCTTTTCTTCGTCGGTCATGTCGATACGCGTAATTCGCCTCAGTGTCAGTTCGCACAATACTTCCTTCTCGCCATTTCGATCTTCATTTGCTTGATTGTTCTGTCCAAGTTCTTGGCGGCACTTCAGTTTGGCAAAAAGACCATCCCCGAGAACCTCGATAAGTTCATCATCTGCCAGGTCCCCGCTTATACCGAAGATGAGGAATCTCTTCGTCGTGCTATCGACTCCATGGCTCGCATGCAGTATGATGACAAACGCAAGCTCCTAGTTGTAGTCTGTGACGGTATGATTATTGGACAAGGCAACGACCGTCCCACGCCTAGAATTGTCTTGGATATTCTAGGTGTCCCCGAATCGGTGGACCCCGAACCCCTTAGCTGCGAGGGTCTGGGCGAGGGCTTGAAGCAACACAACATGGCGAAAATCTACTCTGGTCTGTATGAAGTGCAAGGTCACATTGTTCCTTTCCTGGTCGTCGTTAAGGTCGGAAAACCCTCTGAAGTGTCGCGACCTGGTAATCGTGGAAAGCGAGACTCCCAAATGGTTCTCATGCGGTTCCTCAACCGCATTCATTACAACCTGCCTATGAGCCCGATGGAATTGGAGATGCATCACCAAATCCGCAACGTTATAGGAGTTAACCCCACTTTCTATGAGTTCATCCTACAGGTCGACGCCGATACAGTCGTTGCTCCGGATGCAGCCACTCGAATGGTGGCGCCTTTCTTGGCCGATACTCGTATCATCGGTGTCTGTGGAGAAACAGCGTTGACCAATGCTAAAACGTCCGCGGTGACCATGATCCAGGTCTACGAATATTATATCTCCCACAACCTCATCAAGGCTTTCGAGAGTCTGTTCGGTTCCGTCACATGTATGCCTGGTTGTTTCTCCATGTACCGCATTCGTTCTGCCGAAGCCGCAAAGCCACTGTTCGTCAGTCACGAGATTTGCGAGGCCTATTCGGAGATCCGCGTCGACACCCTGCACATGAAGAATCTTCTGCACCTCGGTGAGGATCGTTACCTGACGACCCTCCTCCTGAAGCATCATCCCAAGTACAAGACCAAGTTCATCTTCGCCGCGAGAGCCTGGACGATTGCCCCCGAGAGTTGGGCTGTGTTCTTATCGCAACGTCGTCGGTGGATCAACTCCACTGTCCACAACCTGATTGAGTTGATTCCCCTTCAGCAACTGTGCGGTTTCTGCTGTTTCAGTATGAGATTCATCGTTTTCGTCGATCTTCTTTCCACCGTTATCCAGCCCGTCACCATTGCCTATATCATCTATCTCATTGTCTGGCTTGTTCGGGATACGTCCACCATCCCGTACACGTCTTTCATTCTGCTCGCAGCCATCTACGGTCTACAGGGTCTCATCTTTATTCTCCGCCGGAAGTGGGAGATGATTGGCTGGATGATCATCTACATTCTCGCCATGCCCGTCTTTGCCCTGGCTCTTCCGCTATACTCTTTCTGGAACATGGATGACTTCTCATGGGGTAACACTCGTGTCATCACTGGAGAATCAGGTCGCCAAGTTGTCATTTCCGACGAAGGTAAATTCGACCCTGCTTCTATCCCCAAGAAGAAGTGGGAAGAGTATCAGGCGGAACTGTGGGAAGCGCAAACTTCTCGGGACGATCGATCCGAAGTCTCTGGCTTTTCCTACGGCACCAAGTCTTATCATCCCGGCCAGTCCGAATATGGATTCCCTGGTGCACGACCGGTGTCGCATCTTGATCTCCCTCATCATGGGTCGCGGATGTCGTTGGCTCCTTCGGAGATGATGAGCCGGCACATGGATATGGAGATGGAGGATCTCAGCCATCTGCCGCCCGACGATGCTATTCTTGCAGAAATTCGTGACATTCTCAGATCAGCGGATTTGATGAGCGTGACGAAGAAGAGCATCAAACAAGAGCTGGAGCGACGTTTCGGAATGAACCTAGATGCCAAACGCCCGTATATCAACTCTGGTAAGGATTCCTCTCCATGTCTTTCCATTATCCCATCACTAACCCAAAGTTCGTGTAGCCACCGAAGCCGTTCTTTCTGGTATTCTTTAATTTACGGGCATGCCCCTATTTGCCATGAGTTGATACTACGAATATGAAAAGAAAAAACAGAAAAACAAAACGACCCCAGCAGACGTTGTTCTCATGCATCAACGTCTTCAAAAGGCAACCCACCGGGTCCTCTTTCGATTTGCATTGCATATATGGCCTTGATTTGGTTTAATTCAATGGATTGAGCATATGAAGGATCGAGCATGGAGTTGTATATTATCTTGTCTTTTTACTGTCTACTTTCATTTTCTTGGGACATACATATTTGCTTGAGCGTTAAGATTGCACTGGTTAAATAGTTTCAAACAGATAATCATGATTGACTTTCAAATATATAATCGCGAATGTTCTCATCTCAAATACTTCTCCTGGCCACGTAATGAATGATGAAGATTCATTGATTGCGCTATGACTACTGTGATGATCAAAATGATCAGATTTAGCCGATTGAGGGGACCGCGAAAATGGCTGTAGAAGAACTCACCTTCGTGGTTAGCGAACATGGAGGAGCGAGCGAAGGCGGATTGCCACCTTAGGCATCTGCCGAGAATACTGCCACGTGACTCCTCGGGAACATTTCCCTTTTAGTCACACCTTCGTTTCCACCGACCCTTTTGAACTCCCAAAGTCTTCTCCAAGCACAGCCAAAAATATCGCGACATTCTCCCGCGAGAGATGCGCTCTTACTCCGGCTGGTACGTGCACATTCCTTGCTGATCCCTGCTTTGAGTCAGGACGTCATAACTCACATATCGCAGTTTGACTTGCAAACGTAGGAAGTTGAAATGCGACGAGTCTAAGCCGGCTTGTTACAAGTGTGTTAAAGCGTCTCGGAGCTGTGTCTATGGCGAACAATCTATATTCCGGAGCCAGGAGGTTGACTCAACGCCAGATCGCAAAAGAAGATGTACTAGCGATCAGCGAGAGAAGCAGGTTGGCGAGAACAGGGAGCAAACTACCTGGGTAGATCTTCCGGGTGAATGTATGTTTCAACTCTAATAATTTTGATGTGGTTATGTCTGCTCACGTTGAATAGTCACGTTTGTTCAGGTCGAGGACCCCGGAGATATCGAGAGCTCAAGGGTCATAGAGGCCAGTGAGGCAACTGTGGATGATGAAGAAAGTGGCACAGGAAGGGCGATAGATGCTGGCGAAGGATATGGGGCTCCTGGATCCCGTCCAGCGTCGCATTGTGCTCCTGTTGCGACACCTTCCTTTCACCGTACAACGGCTAGTGGTCAACATACACCGCGGCCGAATGATTCGTCTATCTACTCTAGCAACCAGACAGAGTCTGACTCTTTCGAGAAAGTTCTTGTCGCATACCTCTTGCGCCATTTCAAGCAAGGCCCAGGCCAGTGGTAGGTATCAACGGTACTTAAGTTAAAACTAGAGCTGGAGCTAACGATAGTCAAGGATGGATCTTTTGGACACTACGTCGTACTTTTCATCCAAAGTGCCTGTCATCGCGGCATCAAAAGCTTTATTGAGATCCGCGGTTTGTGCCCTCTCTGCAAAGCATCTAATGCATGCCTGTCGAGTCATGAGCCAAGCTGGTGCGAACCACAGGTTCTTTCCCAGCTATATCGGCCTTCCTTCCTCTAATGAAGAGACATGGCGATATCACTCCGCAAGATACTACGACCAAGCCCTCGGACATCTCAAGGTAGCCGTGACATCAGAATCGTATTCTAACAATTTACCGGACAAGGAGGAAATGCTTGCGGCCGTCGCGATCCTCTGTACCTTCGAGCTTATGGACGCCCCTGGTAGCGCATGGAAAGCCCATCTGAGTGCTTTGCCGCTCTTCGATGATAGACCAACTTCTGTGTCAGGCCATTCTTCAGTCGTCATCCCCCAGACGGCTATAAAAGGTCCAATATTCTGGAGCCTGGCGAGGCAAGACTTGCTATGTGCCTGTGAGTCACGGAATTTTAATTGCAGATAAGCCCTCTGACTAATGGCCTAGTTATAAGCGAGACCGCAACCCGGCTGGACTTGAAAGATATGCGTCTTTGGCAGAACGCAGGATTGGCTACAGACGAGAATGGAGAGCTTCTACCCTACAGTCCACTAGACGTGATGGAGAGCCAGATTTCCTCCGCATTCGAGGAAGACATGAAGAGCAACGAGCTCACCTGGATTCTTGGTAAAATTGCCAACTTTCTCACTGCAGGGGACGCTTTGGTGCCGGGGATCAATGCGTTACCACCCTGCCAACGGCCTCTGATCGGGCTCAATCAGGAGCATCTTTTAGAACGATGGAACCTGCTGATGACCGACTTGGATCGATGGCACGATTCTCTTCCTGCATCCTTCCGTTCGACGGCTCGGACCCGAAGACTGGGCAGTGCAGCTCCAGGTCTTGGGCTGAGCTTTGACACGTTCGAGCAGATCTGGTTCGACGTGCCACTGTGCGCAGCAACGATCCAAAGCTATCATCAAGCCAAGATATTATTATTGGCCAACGAACCGCAAGAATCAACGGCGATTCGCTCAACCGTCTCAGCACGCCTGAGATCCTATCGCCATGCACTTCGAGAGGTCATCTATCATGCCCGGGAGGTCTGCGGTATCAGTCTTGCCAATCCGACAGATCCGTTCCGGGTCCATTCCGTCCAGGCCTTGTTCGTGGCAGGGCAGGTCTTCCAGGAGCGTCACGAGCAGGACGCGGTCCTTGAATTACTCTCTGGAATCGAAAGGGATCTTGGATGGACTACTAGATATCATATAGCGAAGTTGAAGGATGAGTGGGCGAGAGGGAGAGAAGGGAATCACGTTGACCGTGATACGCAGGGCTATGAGTCCAACTGGTTTATCTCCTAGCTGAGATTGCAGTGGAAGGCCTAATCATCAAGGTACTTGCACTCTTCCGACAGGGTCTTGAATTTTGAATTGCATGGAAGACGAAAGCTTCCGCTGCATTATGGGGGCATGGCAAGCCTTCTCAAGCAATTTCTGATTTCTTGTCCCGAAACAGGAAACAAGCCGAGAAGAATCAGTGTGGGTCTCGGGATCAGGCTGGATTTTGCTTTACTGGATCTGGCGTGCGTCCCGAGCCAGCTGAAGAAAACGCAGAACCTCTCGAATTCTTATCTCGGGATGCCTTCTCCAAACAAAGCAGCCGATGCAAAAGCTCTTCGGGCTAAAGGCTGGCGTGAGCTGTGAAATACATTCGGCTGCATTCTGTCCACCGACACGTGGCTGCGATAAGATTCTTAATTGGGGTTTTCACATTGGAAGAAGGTCTTCGGGACAATTTCTACTTACGGGAATAGACAAAGCACATCAGTCTTATCTCAAATTCGTCAATAGCCGTGTCTAGAACAGAGAGGCATTCACACTTCGAATCTCTGGATCTGCAACTTCTCACTGTCGTTGACCCACTTTGGCCGACTCGGCTCGACTGCCAATTTCGAGCCGAGATAGGGCTTCTCCACCGCTGGGGTTCCAACTTCCAAAGTAGGGGAAGAGTATGGAGATTGGAGGTAAACATCGCAAAGTGGAGTGGCTGTCCAGACTACTGCGCGGGATGAGTAAAAAAAGATCATGACCTGGTTTTTGGCACCTAATTGCTGAGTTGCGTGTGCGTGGGTAATGGTATTCCCACAGGACTAGAGGATGTGAAGAGATTTTCTACTTGGGCTGATCCTTTGGATCGGTGCTTTTAAAACTGCCATGTCCTGTCAGTTTCATTCTACGGAGTCTTTCACTTCTGGGACAGCATCCACGGCCAGCCGATTCTCTTATTACATCCTCCGATTGACCCCCGTGACCCGCGAACCCTAAATCCGACCGGCGTCATGCGCCTCATCCCGCCGAAGTACCTGCTGGGATGCATTCTATGCTCGGCAAATGGACTTCTTTTCGGGATGGACACCGGGATCATCGGCCCCGTGACGGACATGAAGTCCTTCAAGGCTGAGTTCGGCGGGAGTCAAAATTCTACGATCCACGGCCTCATCGTCTCGAGCATCCTGATCCCGGCTGCGCTCTCGTCGTTCTTTGCGGGCTACGTCGCCGACCATCTCGGTCGGCCCAAGGGCATCTGTATTGGCACATTCATCTTCGGCATCGGCGCGGCTCTCGAGGCCGGAGCTGTCCATCTGGCGATGTTCATCGTCGGTCGCATCGTCGAGGGCGTTGGAGAGGGTCTTTTCCTGGGAAATCTAGTCGTTCTGATCTGTGAAATCTCCCCTGTCAGAATGCGCGGTGCCCTCACGACGGGTCCTCAGCTGGCGACCACCATGGGACTGGTTCTAGGGTATTTCATCAGTTACGGGACCGCCAGTATTCAGTCGTCGTTGTCATGGCGCATGCCGTGGATTCTGTTATCGGCGTTTGCGATGGTTATCTGCGCCCTTTCTCTTATGTTTTTGCCGGAATCGCCCCAGTGGCTGGGTCTTCAGGGTCGCTACGCCGAGGCCGAAGAGGCCTGGGATTCTTTGGGTGTGACTCTTGAGGACCGCGAAAAGGTCGAGGGTCAAGTGCAGGTTCGGGAGACGGAGCCTGATTCTGACTTTGAGCCTGAGCCCGAGAAGGCCGCGCCCAGGACCGTCGAGAAGCTGCTGGATGTCTTTTCCAAGGATGTTCGCGGCCGCACGGCACTTGCCGTCTTCTTGATGGGAATGCAGCAATTGGCTGGTATCGATGGTGTCCTCTACGTATGTTCAAACCTCTTATCTCACATTCACTACCACCCGTGATTCCACATAGTCTCAAACCAGCAACCCTAACCAAATACCACAGTACGCCCCCCAACTCTTCCAACAAGCCGGTCTTGCCTCATCCGAAGCCAGCTTCCTCGCCTCCGGTGTCTCCGCCCTCCTCATCTTCGCCACCACCATCCCGGGCCTAATCTACGCCGACAAATGGGGCCGCCGAACCAGCATCCTCCTCGGCGGCATCGGCATGGGAATCCTTATGTTCATCATGGGCGGTCTCTACGCCGGCAACGCCGTGCATCCTGACACCGGCGCCGGCCGCTGGGTCGTCATCGTTTGCATCTACCTCTTCGCGGCCCTCTACTCCGCCACTTGGGGCATTACAGTCAAGGTATATGCCGCAGAGATCCAGCCCCAACGAACCCGTGCGTCCGCGACCACGTTAGCGCACTCGAGTAACTGGATATGTAACTTTACGGTGGCGTTGATCACGCCGATATTGCTCTCGAAGAGCAGTTTCGGAGCGTATATATTGTTCGGCGGGTGTTGTGTTATTACGGTGGTGGTTAGTTGGCCGGTTATGCATGAGACGAAGGGGAGGAGTTTTGGGGAGATTGAGAGGGCTTTTAAGGGAGGGGCTTTTTCTGCTGCTTCTTCTGGGTTTGGATCTGGGTTTGCTATGCGTGAGGATGGAGATGAGAGTGGGTTTTGGAGACGGGGTGGGAGTAGTGCTTAGTGCACGACTAATGGGGTTTGTGAAAAGGATAGGTCTTTTATGATGTGAATGTCTTGGGAAAAGTTATAGATGGGGTTTGGGTTTGATAGAGTATTTAGATTTAGAATGACTTATGAGTTTGATGATCATTGAATACAAAAGTTTTGTTTTGACCTCAAGGTTCTTGTTCAGTCTGTAGTTGAAGGGGAAGCTATTCACTTGCCTCTATTGTTGGATCTGTCATCCATTATCCAAAGATGGATACGATCAACAGGCCACGAAAAGAAATGATATTTACAAGGTCTTCCGCTGAAAGGACGGATCGGGCCTACATAAGTCCGATGATCTCTCATCTCTCTCACCGCAAGCTCAGCCTCCAGATTCTACACTTCATACCATCAATCTACCGACTATGGTTGCCACAGCATCGGATGATGTAGATGAGACTACGGCTCTTCTGGGCCCCAATCGGGCCCCTGAAGAGGAAAAACCTCTACCAAAGGCTCAGATCCTGCTACTCTGTTACGCACGGGCCATCGAGCCCTTGGCTTTCTTCTCCATCTTCCCTTATGTCAGCCAGATGATCCAGGACAACGGGGGCGTCAAAGACTCGGATGTCGGCTTCTACACTGGGATCATAGAGTCATTGTTCTCCCTGACTCAAGCCATCGTGATGATCTTCTGGGGCCGCGCGGCCGATCGCGTCGGCCGTAAGCCGGTCCTGGTCTTCTCCTTATTCGGCGTGACTATGGCGACGGGTCTGTTCGGACTGGCAAAAACTATCCCACAGATGGTCCTATTCAGGTGTCTTGCCGGTGTCTTTGCGGGGACTATCGTCACAATCCGCACGATGATAGCCGAGCACAGCACGAGCAAGACACAGGCCCGAGCGTTCAGTTGGTTCGCTTTCAGTGGGAACCTGGGCCTTTTCCTGGGCCCTTTGTTAGGTGGTAGTCTTGCCAATCCAGCAGGCCAGTATCCGGGTATCTTTAGGGACACTGGGTTCTTCGCTGACTACCCATACGCACTTTCAAGCCTGGTGGTAGCGCTGGTGGGGGCTACTGCTGCCTTGTCTAGTCTCTTCTTCGTCCAAGAGACCTTGAAAATGGAGCCCGCTGCATCGGGCTCCGACCGCGATGAGGGACTATCAACCTGGCAGCTTTTGAAAGCGCCTAATGTGGGGATAGTTCTCTACACATATGGACATATCATGGTCCTTGCCTTCGCGTTTACAGCCATTATACCTGTCTTTTGGTTCACGCCCGTGTACCTCGGGGGATACGGCTTCACTCCTCTACAGATCTCGGTACTGATGGGTCTGAACGGCGCCGCGCAAGCTACGTGGCTCCTCTTGGTCTTTCCCCCCTTGCAGAAGAGGATCGGGTCGAACGGCGTGATCCGTCTATGTGCCTATGCCTATCCATTCTTCTTCCTTGCCTGCCCAGCTGGTAACGCCCTTCTGCGACTGGGGACCGACGCATCTGTGAAGACCTTCTGGGTGTTCATGCCGATCGCGCTCGGCATCGGCTGTGGCGTCAGCATGAGCTTCACGGCCATCCAGCTCGTCTTGAACGACGTCTCTCCCTCGCCGAGAGTATTGGGGACGCTGAACGCCCTCGCCTTGACCGGGGTTAGCGGGCTGAGGGCGTTTTGCCCGGCCCTTTTCACCACGCTCTTCGCCTTGGGCGCGAGGACGCAACTCGCCGGGGGGTACGCCATCTGGATCCTGATGCTCTTGCTGGCTGTCGGGTTGTCGGTTGCTGCGAGATATCTACCGGAAATCAAGGAGCCTGATGAATCTTCTTGAGTTGTCTCGGTATAGACTAGATACCAAACCTTCCAGGCCAGGTTAGGTACAAATATGCAACACTATGCTAGAATTTTATTCTTTACTTAGTTCTGTTGATCCTTAGCACTATGTTCTAATAGAGAAATATCAACATACAATTTTTCACAGTAGATATCGATAATCAAAACTTAAGAGAATATCTATAATAAATCAGCACTATTTGGTAATCCGAGGACTTAATAATTCTTAAAATATCTATAACTGCTCTTATGGATATTTAAACTTGTATTATCTTTAGTAGAGAATGCCTACAAAAATTATCATTCGATTAGTATAGAGTGATAAGCACGATTCTTTCCTACTAGCGAAATAGCATTGGCGAGGCGGCCGCTCAATACAAATGGGACATGGACAGGTCAACCTCCCCCGTATCTGCGGGGTGTTCGAGTCTAGGTCTATAGTTTGGGAAAGCTGTCAAGTCTACAGAGATACTTAATCCTGCCATACGCTGTATGTACAAAGCAGAATTCGGACTATTCCTCATTTTGTGGCTTTGTAAGTAGTTGGTTCACATTAGGGGGTTGAAGTTACTGGTTATCCATAACTTAAGGTATTTGCTCCATATATAATCATCTCGTTTCAAGCTTAGATATAACATCGTATAAAGTTACCGCGTAGAGCTGAATATGTTCATATCTCCCCAGAGTAGCCGTCGCTATGAAAGTAAATGATAGTTACATCTCTGTCCGTGACAAAGTGGACCGAATAAGTAATCCTGGACACTCACTAAAGATTCATGTAATCTCATTTATCCTAACACCCGTCGCTTCTCAAAGATTTACAAGGACGCTTTGTGAACCACCTGCACATTCCCCGTAACAACGGTCTTTATCTGGAGATAATCTTCAATCCCATATTTGCTTCCCTCGCGACCAATTCCCGAATGTTTGATACCCCCGAACCTGTTCAGATGATTAGGTCTTGTCTAGCGATAATAACGAGCGGGAAAGCTTACGGGCTTGCAGCGTCAGAAACGACGCCGGTGTTGACAGCCACCATGCCAAATTGCAAAAGCTCCGAAACGCGGTTGGCTCGAGTGATGTCGTCGGTGAAGATGTATGATGCTAATCCCACGTCGCAGTTGTTGGCAGTAGCGACGACCTCGTCTTCTGTGTCGAAGGAGAATATGGGTGCTACAGGGCCGAAGATCTCTTCGTTCGCTACCGACATGGCCGTGGTGACGTTTGTGAGGATGGTGGGCTCGAAGAAGTTGGGGCCTGTGTTTGGAGATGGGGTGTTAGTTTGAATGCTAGTACAGCTATTTGATAACCAGCACATTCTCTTCCTGTTATCTTAGGGATATACGGACCTAGGCGAGGGATCTTATTGCCGCCAATCTCGACCTTCGCGCCGAGACTGACAGCTTCGTTTACTAGACCGGCGACTCTATCGGCTGCCGCCGATGTAATTAGGGGACCATGGGTGGTCTTCTCATCCAGTCCACTGCCAACATGGAATCGACCGACAGCCTCTTTGAGACGTCGAATGAACTCCGGATAAACGCGCTTCTGAACAAATATTCGGTTGGAACAGACACATGTCTGCCCCGACGACTTAAACTTGCTTCCGATGGCCGCATCCACGGCCAAGCCGAGGTCGGCATCCTCGAACACGATAAACGGTGCGTTACCACCAAGCTCCAGGCTCAGTTTCTTCAAGGAACAGCTAGATTGCTGCATCAAAAGCTTCCCGACGCGCGTCGAACCCGTGAAGGAGATTTTGCGAACCACGTTGGACGAGCACAGAGCCTCGCCAATCTCCGGGGTGTTGTCGAGCGCGGTAACGCTGTTGATCACGCCCGCCGGGATTCCGGCTCGCTCGCCCAGCTTGAGCAAGGCGTTGGCTGTGAAAGGTGTTTCGCCTGCCGTTTTCACGACGACCGTGCAGCCAGCGGCCAATGCGGGACCGAGCTTTCTTGTGATCATAGCTGCAGGGAAGTTCCATCTATGGTTGGCAGAGACAACGGATGAGCTTAGATATCGAAGACAGTAACCTCGACTGGGCGATTCAACTCACGGAGTAATAAGACCGCACACCCCAATGGGCTCTTTCAGAACGGAGACGCGAAAACTGGGTTGGCTATGGGGAATAACGTCACCGTAGATCCGCGCGGCCTCTTCAGAGAACCACTCGAGAAAGCTGGCGGCAAAGAGAACCTCGCCCGCCGCGTCGGGTTTGGCCTTTCCGTTCTCCAGCGTGATGAGCTTGGCCAGGTCTTCTTGGTTCTCGAGAATCAACTCATACCACCGACGTAGGATGCGGCCCCGGTTGCGACCAGCCCGAGAGCGCCATGCAGGTAGGGCCGCTGCCGCAGAATCAATCGCGTTTTGTGCATCCTTCGAGTCTGACTCGGGGCAAGATCCTAGAATGCTTCCATTTGCAGGGTCGGTGACATCGAACCGCCTCCGAGACTCGGCTTCCACCCACTTTCCGTCGATGTAGTTTTGGCCGACCAGCAGGGATGGATCCTTGAGGCGGATGTTAAATGCGGCCATTTTCGAACTGATTCCGTGGAAAGTTATGATAGGATGTGTTCTTTTCAAGAACCAAGTACGGGAAGACTAGATTTGACGGTCATTTATCTAATGGCAGGCAAGTGATCGTCGGCATTGAGGCCGATCTCGAGGAACAGTCAGGCCGTAAAGTAGGGCAAGGCAAGTCACGGCGGCGGCGTCGGTGGGGCTTTCAAAGAAGGAAAGTGATGGAGAAACTCACCCCAATCATTCTCCCTCGAACAACGCACCCCTTGGCTCCAGATCCCTTATCGCAAGACGAACGGGCAGGTATTAGCAGCCCTGCACGAACAGCAAGATGGGGTTTATCCTCTTCAAGTCTTGCATGCTTTCTCCGCCATATATAGCCCATTACATGGTTCACTGACCTCCGTGGGTTTCCTCTTCTTCACCCTCCTCCACTCACAAAATGCCCAAGTCTGTTGACACCGTTGATCTTTCTAACACCGCCAGCGCCTACTATGCGCCCGCGACAATTGCCCCTGCTGGCAGGTTAATTCACGTCGCCGGTCAGCCCGGAAGTACAAAAGACGGTGCAGTGCCTGCCGATTATGAGTCGCAAATTCATCTGGCTTTGCTGAACTTGCGCAAGATCATCATCGCGGCGGGATCTTCCATTGAAAATATCGTCAAGCTCAACCTATACATCGTCAATTACGACGCGGCCAACCGCAAGCATACCCGTCACATCCAACGATTCCTTGCCGGACACCGACCGGCTATAACCCTGATCCCCACCCCCAAACTTGCCGTACCCTCGTGGCTTTTTGAGATCGATGCCGTAATCGCCCTACCAGAGGCGTCGGTACCTCCCTCCCTCCCGACGGTCAATGAGACGACCGACGTCATCATCATCGGAGCTGGTCTTGCCGGTCTTTCGGCCGCTCAAGATGTCTTGCGCGCAGGCCTGTCATGCGTCATTCTGGAGGCGCGCGATCGGGTTGGTGGCAAGACGTGGAGTACGCCACTTCCAGATGGCAAGGGAGTCATCGATCTGGGTGCCGCCTGGATCAACGACACCAACCAGAGCAAGATTTATGCCCTGGCACAACGATACGGGGTGGAGCTGATTGAACAGAACACTCAAGGCAACGCGGCTTTGGAAGACGCCGATGGCAACTGCTCCCCCTTCGCTTACGGAGAGCTTCCCAACGTGAGACCGTTCTTCATCCCCTCAACTGATGCATACAGGACAGTAGCTAATTCATGTCTGTTCTAGTTTGATAAAGCCACCCAAGCGCATCTGGCAGGGATCCGGGATATGTGCGAAGCTGATTGCCAGGCCCTGGACACATGGCGACCGAAAGACACCAGCCTGGATTCTCTCACATTCGAGGCCTACTTGCGCTCCCGGGGAGCTAGCGAAGCGGCCCTCTCTACCGCGACGGTTTGGACTCGGGCTATGCTGGGCCAGGATCCCAAAGACATCTCAGCTCTGTACTTCCTGAATTACTGCAAATCCGGGGGTGGTCTCTTGCAGATGCGGTCGGATCGTAAGCACGGTGGCCAATATCTGCGCGTTCGCCAGGGCACCCAGGCTTTCTCTTTGGGACTAGCATCTTCACTCCCAGAAGGTACTGTCCGACTCTCTAGCCCCGTTCAATCGGTCATCCAAACTGCAGACCGGGCAGTTAAGGTGCAAGCGGGAGGGGCTGTCTATGCCGGCCGCAAGGTCATCATCACGGTGCCTAGTCCGGCTATGAAGACCATTTCCTTCTACCCCAAACTGCCTGACGCGAAGCGAGCGTGGATCGAGTCCACCACCTACGGGTACTATACCAAGGCCATGATGGAGTTTCGCTCGCCCTTCTGGGTCAAAGCTGGCTTCTGCGGCCTCGCACAATCATTCATTGGCCCCGCCAGCGTTGTTCGCGATAGCTGCAGCCCCGAAGATCGCAAGTATGTTTTGACGTGCTTCATGTCGGGTGATCCCGGCCGAGCGTGGGCTGCGCTACCCACCAAGGAGCGAGAGCAGAGTCTGTTGCAACAACTGACCAAGCTTTTTGGCGTCTCTAATCTCGACTCTGAGTTTATGCAGATGACCACGTACGAATGGGTGAATGACGAGTGGGCCGGCTGGGGCTGTCCATGCACTGCTCTGACCCCTGGCGTCCTGGACACCCTGGGCCCCGACGCACTGCGAGAGAGCTCGGGCAATCTGCACTTTGCAGGCACTGAGACGGCTGGAGAGTGGAAGGGTTATATGGAGGGCGCTGTTCGTAGCGGGGAGCGAGCTGCCGCCGAGGTGGTCAAGAGCTTGAATGTTGGTATTACCTCGCGACTGTGAGTATATACACACATGGAACTGCGGAGATTCTATTATTCGTAAAAGCGTTTCACAAGTCCACTGCCGTAGAATTTTGACCAACCTGAAAGCCAACTCCCAAGTACAGTAAGATGATGTGTGAGGTGTAGAGGATGGCTATCGGGATGGTCAAGAAGATGGTTATAGAAGAAGAAGCCTTCCTCGAGAGGGCCAATGGCTGATTGCCTTAGGCATAGGGTAAGATGACCCGCCAGAACGGATCGTCAATTCCTGGATGCGTTTCAGCTGTCCGTCGAAAGCGAGCTGGCGAAGGAAACTGCCAAACTTCATGCGCATGGACTGGCATTAGAGGAGTGGAGGTTATCAATGCTTGTCTCCGTACTGCCTCGGGAAATGCATTCAGGTCTGTTGTTATCTCGCGGTTCTAAACAGACGATCTCTAAATATCTCTCATTATTTTCTCCCACCACCAACGGCCCTCAAGTGACCACACAAGTGACCGCTAGCTGCGCGCCACCATCCAATTAGTGCAGCTAACTTGCTTAAAAAGCTCAAGACACAGCTCGATCAGGACCTGGATCATAATTGCACTCTAATCGGGCCTTGTGGGTCCTCCGGCGCACCATTCAAGTTTACATGTGCCACCTTTGGTGCATACCGATTTTGGCTGATAATTTTGTATGAAAGGGCGCGGTCGGTGCAGCAACAAAAATGCACTTTAACCTTATCCATGTCCAACCGTTTCGGTGATTTATCACTCATTGCTAATTTGCCCTACGAAAGTAAATGATTTGAGTGTTACAGTATGACCGCATCCCGTGTAGGCCTCCTTCAGCGCCCAGGCCGGATTCTTTATGCCCCCCGAAGGCAGCCGTGGGGTGCTGTTCAGCATGGCTGTTAATCCAAATGTTTCCTGCCTCCAAATTACATGCTATCCGGCGGGCACGATCTAAATCTTTCGTCCAGACAGAGGCTCCAAGTCCATATTTGGTGTCGTTCGCCCTCCTGATAACCTCCTCTTCGGATGCCCATTGGAGTAGTGGTAGGATAGGACCTGTCTATGCTCAGCATTTCCAGTAATGAGCATCAGCGACAAGAGGTCTTACCAAATGGCTCTTCCACCACTATCCTAGAATCATCTGGTGGATTGTCAACCACGGTTGGCTGCACAAAATAGCCATCCCTAGAGAGGTTTTCAAAATTTGCCGTCGCCTGTCCTGTGAGCACTTTATGGCCCTGCTGCTCAATGTCCGCCAGCAAGTTCTGGATAAAACAATATTGCATCTCATTTTGGACAGGTCCAATTGAGACATCATCTAACAGACCGTCGCCCACTTTCAAGGAGTTAGTTGCAGCAACAAAAGCCTCGGCGAACTGCCTGTAAATGGAATTGTGAATATAAACACGCTTAACGCCTGTACACATCTATGGGAAAGTATGTATCAGTATAATGCATTTAGGTTTTGGCGTAAGCCTTACCTGGCTTGAATTTCTCCAGGCCGCTTGGGCAATCTACCAAACAGTCAGATTCCGCAGCACTAAACGCATCGTTTTTCTCTACTTACCGCAGTAGCTACAGGTAAAATCTCTATATCTTCACACACTATCGCAGGGTCATTTCCCCCTCTAAGTGACCAGTTAACTTCACTGATGAACACAAGAATAGTTTGGGTCAACCTCACAATTCCAGGGTAACCCGCTTCAAGGTTCGGCTGCAGGTCTCCATAACCTTCTTCCCTGTGGTGGTTGAACCAGTAAAACTGACCATGCCAATGCCAGGATGCTCAGTAAGCCATGGTCCAAGGCTTTCATCACCACTGAGGCCTTGAACGACACCAGGAGGCAAGAAGTACTGTGCGAGCTCACAGACTTTGAGACCGCAATATGGCGTAAATGGACTGTCAATCTACCGTTTAGGACTGTATATTCTCATTTGAGCTTGATCCAGGACTTTACTGACGAAGGCTTTATAATAGAGGTGTTTCCGGTGAGCAAGGCGAGGGTAAGCTTGGAACAAGCCAACTTGAGCGGAACTGAAATGCATCCCTTAATTAGCGAAATGGCCCAATTCCAGGTGGCATATTCCTGGCCTAGGTTTTTTAAATGGTCTTACAATTCCACGGCACAATTCCAACCGTGACACCAACGGGGGTTGACTGTGTCAACACATAGCCGTCGTCGGTCTGATCCACAACTTCATGAGGTAGCGAGACTGCCACATGTGCCTTCATAAATCTTGTTGAAGAGTCCACTTCCCGAAAGGACTGTGAGAGAGGCTTTCCTTGCTCTCGTGTCAGCATATTTGCAAACTCCGTTCTGTGGGCTTGTAGCGCGTCGGCCAAGGAAACAATGGCCCTGCGACGATATGTGATTGAGGTTTTGGACCAATTGATAAATGCCTGATGTGCAGCTGCAACAGCACGATCAATATCGTTCGGCGATGAGACTGGTACTTCAGGGTTCTGCATCAGACTCGACGGGTTTACGGCCCGCCGAGATGTCTCGGTAGTGCATAGTTCCCCATCTATCACATTATAGAAGTTGACAAAATCAAATCGGCGGGGTGAGTTACGTAGCATCCTGGGGGCGAGACGAGCCAAAGCTACGCGAGAAGTGAAGCTTTTAGCGTTTCGCTAAGAATAAATTAGGACAGCAAGATTGCATACCAAGATCGAGATATATTCCAGTCCAAAAAGGTCGTGGTCTAGTATCGGCAAGATATACTGTAATGTTCTTCTTAACTGGTGCTTTCCATCCCACATCTCTTTTATTACAACACTCCGGCAAAGGGAGGCTGTAAGGAGTCGCGATGCATCAGATTGGGTGACGTGGCAGGATACGTGGACTCGTTTCATTCAAAAAGAAAAGAAAAAAGCTGAATACGCTGATTGGGCTTCATACAGTCTGTTTCAGTATATCTAGGAGGATACCACCAGATGACCACCCGGTTCACCAAGTAATGAGCCGGGCAAAGGAAGCAGCTCTTACATCGGTAGCGGGGCCCGCTTTCTCCCAGCCGAAACACTGCGAACCATGAACCTTGGGCGGCTGCAGGCCTTAGAAATAAATAATTGACCCCAAACCACTTGCGCCATGGCGGAGCCAGCCCTTACAGAAATCGAGATTGAGCCTGATCAAGAGAAAGCGCAGGCCAACGCACTGATGCAGCAAGTCACAACAAGTATCACAGGTTTCTCAGACGCTTCAGGAAAAGAGAGTCAACTAGGGGCCGCTGCAGTAGCTCTTGACCACAACCGGCAGATAACGGGGTTTCAACAAATCAGTATTGGTTTAATGGAACACTGGTCGGTTTATGCGGTCGAGCTCGTGGCAATCTATAATGCAATCGGGCTGGTCTTTTAACTAGCGCGGAAGAAGTATGCTCAGCCATCACGGCGCTGTTCTGCTATTCTCCTGCCCTACACGGTGGCTTTGAACACGCTAATATAGCCTTGTCCAAGGGAAACCTTCCAGAACCGTCCAGTCTTCACGGTCCACGATAATGTACTACTCTGTTGGTAAGACACCAACATCCCCCTCTAGTGATCTGGAGGTGGTTACGTCCCAGAGCAATTCACGGGATTGTGTACATCGTATAAATTTGTCAGATGGCCCTTATTGGTTTCGTCTGGAGCCTAATCAGCCCCGCGTCGAGTGAGCCAATTTGACTAACGCCGAATATTAGCATTATTTATGGAAGTGCAAAATTCAAACTTACTTGGTTCGTAGTTAGAAGGGCATATAATGAAAATGCCATACGGATCTGACCCCACAGCGCCACCACAGGTAACCGTCGTAAGGACACTGAATGGCGTGAAAGATACCAGAGGCTGTATGTAAGTTCCAACACCGCACTGAATGACAGATAGTGCAATATTATATTTGAATTTGCTGGTATGTGCATGTCGTTGAGCACACCGAAAAAAAGCTGGTAAACAACAATCGAAAGCATCGTCAAAAAGTCAGGGAACATGAGGTAATCTTCCACCTGAATTGAAAATACAAGAGACTTGACGCAATGCCAACGGTTCGACGCTGGCCTGGTGGAGATAATCACACCAAGGTCTCTTAAACCGAGTCTTACACGGTTTCGTGACCACCGAAGAATCTGATACATGTGAAGGGAGCCAGACTTCTGCCGGGAAAAGATGGCAAACCTATCATCAGATATAAAGCGAGTTTTCCACCCGGTTCTATACAGCCAGGAGGTGATGGCGACATCATCGCCAGACCTTAGAAGGTATTTCCCCCTCCAATGATCCTCCAAAAAGTATTTGATGAATGCCGGATCTTTCAAGATTCGTGCCCGATATGCTGATGTTCGCCCAGAACAAACGAGCACCTGGCCATCACAGAAGTGCGCCATCGCAGCGTTGGTCACACTCCGACGATCCTGTCGAACAGCTGCAATAAGGTCGTATAACGTGCCCCCTTCAACGAGTTGCGATCCCTTATGTTTTCCCTTTATAGGCGTCACACCACCCACTATCAAGTCCTCAGAAAGGCCTCGAAGCAGGCCATCAAGTGTGTCCGGAAGCCAGGTGATATCATCATCCACCAGAGCCAATATGGATGTTCCGGTCCTTTTTATCCCTTCCACCAGGGCCGGTCGCTTCCCTGTAATATCAATGGCGTATACTGACACCCGAGAATCATCAATTTCCTGCAATACGTATCTCACTCGATCAAGCCAGACTGGAGTTGTCACAATGATGATCTCGTAAGGATTGCATCGTAGCCAGGACTGCACAGAAAGAATGAACTCGGGTGCAGGATCCACTGTTGGACAGACAACCGTGACATCCGAGCTTGACTTTGTTACGGTTTCTTGCTTTGGAGTAGGTCGGTGCCGATGAAACCCATAATACAGAACCAGGGCGGAAAGGATTCGGATAACACGACCTGCACTGCCTTCATGTTAATACAACTCTCCAAGACGGGTAAGAATAGATGTGGGCCTCCAACATTGCGATATGGTAAAGAGATTGTAGAATTCTGGGTAGAATCATATTATCTCTGACCGTAGCTAACAGGGCAATTTGTCTTTAGCCAAAAAGATGTGATTTAAAGTTAACAAAGATAGCAAATTCATGGAGCAATTCTGAATGCAACAACCTTGCTGGCGCAAGACACGACTTTTCTGTTATCCTAGCGGTGAGTGATGTGATTGAACAGCCGTGCTGGCTTGGCCCACACCGCTTTTTGACTTATATGGAGTTTGTCATACAGATTGAACGCAAGGTACCAGATTGAACGCAAGGTATGCGTTGCACTGTGGGCCCTGCAAACTACAATGCAACAGGCGGAGTATGATCAAAGCAATTAAGAGGCACGTTGGTTGACAGATCTTTACTATATTTGTCAAGCCCGTCTCATCGAGCTGAGACAAAAATGCCAGGTGTATTATCTGTAGACCGACTTTTCACAGACTACAGACCATCAGTCAACAATTCGGGGACGACCTGCGAGTGGAATATAGATCTACTTGAGATGCTCCTAGTGCTCCTAGAGCTCCTACCTAGATTGTGCCCCACGATCTTCTCCTATTCTAACCCAGATCTGATCCTTTGGTATAACATTACGGGGGTTACATCCAGCTCAGTCGGAAGAAAATGCTCCAGGAGAAAATGGTGGAAAGCTCCACCACGTTCCATCCTGTCAGCACACTCAACAAACATGAGCATCCAAGTGATATATGCTTCATAGGTGCTGGGTATGTGGGTAAGTAACATCACCTCTTTCAAAGTTCAGAATAACCTGAGGTGTGCAGGCGCCATGACGGCCATTGTCCTTGCCGTCAAACACCCAAATATAAATTTCTATGTAGTCGACAAGGATACATCTATTATTAATGCATGGAATTCTGAGAGCATCCCAATCTTCGAGCCTGGATTGGAAGAACTCCTTTTCGATAAGCGATCAGAAAGACTGAACACACACTGCCAGGCAGCGTTCCCATCGAGGAAACTGCGAAATATCACATTCTCACCGGAAATCCAAGAATGTGTTGCAAAGGCGCAAATGGTGTTTCTCTGTGTAGGCACGCCTTCGTGCGCTAGCGTTCGTATCCCAGCTCTCATACAACGTGATGATTAATCTAACTTCAATATGTTAAAGAATGGGGACAATGTCCAGACCCTGGATGTCGCCAACTTAGAAATTGCCGTGCAAATCATTGCAAAGGTGTCCAGTGGCCACAAAATCATAGTGCAAAAAAGCACGACGCCGTGCGGCACGGCCCACAATATCTCGAGGATGGTTAGCCTATTCTGACATATACCAGTTGAATACTCAGGTTGTAACAAGTTCGCTTACTATTTGGCAACTGCTAGCTAAAACAATCTGCATCTACTGATGCCTCTTTTGATGTGATATCGAATCCTGAGTTTCTGGCTCAGGGGAGCGCTATCCACGACCTTCTCTACCCGAAGCGCGTGATTATCGGTCATATCGGCTCCGGTCTCAACAAAGATCTACCCGATGCGGTAACGATGCTGATAAATTTATACACCCCTTGGGTTCAGCCCGACCGGATCATCACAATGGATGCGTGGTCATCCGAGCTTTCGAAAATAGCTTCAAATGCATTTGTAGCACAACGGATAAGTAGTATCAATTCCCTAAGTCTGGTTTGTGAAGCCACAAATGCCAATATCAAACATGTTTCTCGGGCAGTTGGGGCTGATCCGCGGATTGGACCATTATCACTTCGTGCAGGCTTTGGCTTTGGAGGGTCATGCCTACACAAAGATGTCTGCTGCTTGATATATCTCGCCCGTGAGCTCGGTTTAATTGAGGTGTGTGAGTACTGGAAAGCGGTGATTCGGACGAATGTTTACCAAAACCGTCACATATCGCGCCGCGTTATGTCCTGCCTTTCTGGTCGAGTGACGGAAAATTCTGTTGCTGTCCTCGGTTTCTCGTTTAAAGAAAATACTAGTGATACTCGAAACTCGACTGCGATAACGTTTGTTCAGGATCTTCTTCGAAATGGCATAAGCGTTAACATTTACGATCCGCGGGTCATGAAGGATCAGATTAAAACAGCTCTGGGTCTTACAACTGGACACAACGCTGTCGTGGTAGCTGATGATATTGAAACAGCTTGCGTGGGATGCAATGCTATTGTGCTACATACTGCGTGGAGTGAATTCAGCAGATCTCATATACCGTGGGGGCGCATTGCCGACCGGATGAAAGGGCCGAAGATCTTTCTTGATGCATGCGGAACTGTTGAACTATGCGCGATGAGATCGCATGGTTTTGACATACTGGAGATTGGGAAGAAATACTAAAACGAACTGAGGATTATACGTTCATATCGCGACCCGATGGATGGCGGAGCGTTCTTGGTGTGACATAGGGGAGGGGGGTTGCGAAGATGTCGCAAAAAAGGCCATATATAACCTATCTGTGAAGGACTTTGGTAGGTTATTGTAGCTGTTCTTATAGCAATGTGGACAATTTCAACTTGTAACAGGTGCTTGCCACTCATCTTTCTAACAAAGTATTTATTAAGCTCCTTATTATAATAACAGATGTTGTAGGTTAAAGGCTAGTTAAACTTTTGTATTACTAGAACCTACCCTCTACCTTGTCTGCCAGCATATATACTGATCTTTGTGCTTATTCCTCTCTACCAACAGAGGAGTCTACGTCAAGTGTCATATTCTATGCTCAGACCGGCAAATTCCACTGAGATGTCGTTTCCGCCTTTTCCCATGTGGCTCACTTCGGATTGTTCCTGTATCCGTGGGTCATTTCTTCACGGAGCATCCCATTGTTCGCACGCTCGGCTAACAGATGTGATCAGTTTGTCTGCACAGCTTAAATATGCTGTGAATCACTATATTTCATTCTCTCTCTATCTTTCTACCTTTCAACCTCTACTCCTCTGCTTTTCTACCATTCTATGTCTACACGCCACTACTATCAGTCAAGATGTTTCATAACTGGACCTCTATTGTCGGCCTCATTCTGCTGCTTCTCGTCTTTGTGGACGCCGGCCATCCTCTCTGGGAGGCCTCGACTAAGATCAAGCGTGCCGTTCCGTTTGATCTCAATTCGCTGACCACCACAACCTGGCCTGGCGGTGCTGTTATGTACTGCTGGGAAAGTGAAGCCACGCGGAATGCACTTGTCGGACATTTCCGCCATGCCACCAATCTTTGGGCTGCGGCTGGGTTGCCCGAGACTCGGTTCCGTTTTGTCGAGTTCCCGTTGGAGGAGTGTATGAGAGACCGCCGCAATTCGCTAGTCATCCATAGGACCCCTGGGTCTCTCGAGTTCTCGACAACCGTCGGCAAGTATGTTGGTCCTGTCAGTGAGCTCATCCCAGGGCCTCTTGCCTTTTTCAATGATAAGAGGGAACCTGTCGATCGTGGCCGAGGATCAAATACCATTGCGGAGAAAATCGTCCATGAAATCGGACACATCTTTGGCTTGTTCCATGAACATCAAAACCCCTATTTTTGGTACGATCCGTCTGACTTTCGGATCTATTGCGAAAATATCGAAGGATTCCAGCAAGCAACCGCACATTTAACCCACGAGCAAATCTGGGGTGAGAATGGGGTCTGTGTTAATCAACTCGCGGCCCTAGAGCAGGGGTGGCCTACCGTTGCCCATTTCCTTCCGATCCGGGAGCTCACCTATCTCCCTCATGGTCCGGATAATGATGTGGACTGGGACTCGATCATGCTCTACCACAGCAATGTGGGGGCTATTGTGAGCGATGGCAATGATTACACTCTACGCAAAGGTCCTGGGGCACCTGGTATAGCCTATAGAATCAGGGTCAAGCGCTCTCCTAGTCAAAGGGATGTTCAAGCGCTGATTCGTCTCTACGACGCTTCGGACGAGCGAACGCTTCCGCGCCTCTATCACGACCCGCGCAGCGAATATCACACCGCATTCCAGAATTTGCAGAATTTCCAAGTATGCGATTGGCCCCAGGGTGGGCCCAGTGGTGGGTGAGGTTGCAGTTGTCAGGATGGTTATCATGTTGTGTATTTCAACCGGTCTTCCTCCGGAACGTCTGCAGAATTAACAATCGAAGTGTGTTTCTGACAATAGTTAATTGTTCTTTCTACCCGTATCCACTTCTCTGAGCATTTCTAAGTAGTTACTTCACTCCGTTTGGGTCTTGACATTGTCATCGTAAAACCTCGGACATAGTAGTGAAACCAAATGAATTCAATCTTCGGTATGTTTACTCGCCCTTGCAGAGCTCTCCTTTGGATTTCCAGATTTCAAACTCGAAGTCTGGTTGGAATTCCGTGTAAAGAGTTTCCTAGATGTCCTGTGAGCACATTCTCGACCCAACCTTCGGCATCTGACCACTTACAGGATCGGCGTTCACCTGGGCCGTAAACTTCGCCTCCTTCTCTCCGATCAAGTTCTTGGGAAGACCCGTGCTTTCCACCATGAGTTGAACCTCGCAAGAACGCTCCATTAGAGTGAACAGATAAGCAGCCTCATCCACTGTGCCACCCGTCGTCAAAAGCCCATGGTTTTGAAGCACCATGACCCGACCAGTGTCACCCAGGGCCTCGGCAATTCGCACCCCCTCCTCAGCCCCCAGGACAACTCCGCCAAATGCCTTGTAGACGGCCTGGGTGCCCCAGAAGTTGCAGGTGTCCTGATTGATGATGTCGAGTGGACGTCCAAATGTCGACCAGGCCTTACCCGCCGGCGAGTGGGTATGGCAGGCAGCGTGCACGTCGGGTCGCGCTCGGTGAATGGCACTGTGAATCATGAACCCGGCTGCGTTGATGGCCGTCTTATTGCCGCCGATAACCTGGCCGTCCTCGTCAATCTGCACCATGTCGCTGGCCTTGAGCATGCCAAAGTGCTTTCCCATACTAGAGCAACGTTAGCGGTTCCCGCATCTCTCCTAAGGACTCAAAGTTGATTGAGACTTACGGGTTGATCCAGAATGTCGACGGGTCAACTGGGTCGCGCACGCTGATATGACCGCTAGTGCCTTCGGTGAAGCCCTTTCGTGCGAATACTCGAAAGGCCCCCGCCATGTGCTCTAGTTGCCATTGTCGTTTCTTGTAGGGGTCGTCGATCTTGGGAATCCCGGGAAACTCGTATCCGCCCGTGGCGAGGGCTGCTTGAGCACCACTGGCCTGCTTGGGGGTTTGTGCAACGGCAGAGATGGAGTGGTTAGCCTCCTCGATAGACTGGGTGATAGCCGTCGCAGTCATATTGGAATAAATGAGGATGTTTAGTGAGTCCTATAGATAGATGCCAGCAACGAAAAGGGAACGAGAAGAGAAGAGAAAGTAGTTTAAGCATGGCTAACTTTCAAGCGACTTGCAAATGCAAGCAGCTCTAATAACCTCGAATCTTCCGCCACCGAGAATAGTGACTGACGCATGATGGTTGGTGGTGGGCGGGCAGAAATGCAATGCCTTCTTGAACAACGGCAGGTCACGCCGACGCTGTGAGGCAAGCAACTCCGACACCTGCCGTCCTGTCCTTCTCCACCTCATCCTCCCGACCATCTCATCTTCATTCAACTTCCACCGGAGCTGCCTTCCATCTTCATCTCTCCATGACATACCTCTACTCTGGCATGTGACATGCTGCAACTGGTCTTTGTATGTACAGTCGGTGGCTCCGATCATACCATCTATGTCCGCGCCAAATCGTCCTCGAAAGTGCACCAAAACGTTTACGGGATGTTGGGCCTGTCGCGCCCGGAAAATCAAGTGCGATGAAGAGAACCCATCGTGTCCTCAGTGCTATGACAAGAATCTCAGTTGCGAGGGCTACTCGGCCCGCCTCCAGTGGCTCACCCCCGTCACCGGCAGCCGAGGACTCCACTCTCAGTCCCTGTCCGAGGGCTCCATGAGCCAATCTCTCCGACGCCTTCTTCCCGCAGGTAAATGTCTCTCATTCGATATTTACAGATGAATTCCCTGCTGATGCATGTACCTTAGAACCTCTTCGCTCCACGCTGCACTTGGACCAAATAGACGGCATTCTACGCTATCTTGACTCGCTAGAATCGGTGATCAATCACGGCCGTGAAGATGTCAGTGCCAGCATCCAGAACTTTGGTTTCTTCAGCCTTGCCACTGCACCCTGCTCATCTCTTGCTGATAACTCCGGCTGCGCGGCACCTAGTCTACCCAAGGCGCTCTCGCTTGCGGACGATTACGACTTGTTCTTCGACCCAGGGTCAACGTTGACAAGCTCAGAGCCCTGTGGTGATAATCCCGAAATAGAGGCCGCATGGAACCTATGTACCCTTCATGATGAACACGAGCTGCCTTTGGATTTTCCGCCGCGGCAAGATTTAGCTGCCCCGGACATGCCACCGACCATCATCCCGGTAAAATTGCGCAAGCTTTACTAACTCCCGCCAATTGGCTAGAGAACCTGGCAGTTCCCTCCCAAGAAAAGCTACTGATGGGCCACTACAGAAACCGAGTCGTAAATTTGTTTTGCGTAATAGACAATGCTATAAGTCCGTGGAAGACGATACACCTGCCCAGGGTGTTGCAATGCGCTGGCGAACTGAGCTTTGGGGGCACCACCACGCGCATCCGCAACGCATTGAGCCAAACGTTACTTTCCATCAGTGCGTTCTATCTATCCAATGACTATCGAGCTCGCCAGAAGCGGCGACATGGGGCACGGTCGCTTCGCGATACCGATGTGATGCCATTGGGCTCCTCAAATACGCCGTTGTGACCCCTAGACGACAGGGCTATTCATATTGACACAATCCAGCGCTCCAAGGAATTATTTCCTAAATGGTAATGACTGGCGCTTCCGGCACAGCCGTAGAGGTAATGCTGTCAGGAGAAGATGAACAATGCTAGGTCGCTTTGGGGATCAGCTGGCGCGGTGTCAGAAATTACACCGTAGTGCGGCAGTGTCGGAGTTAATTGATTTCCAACGCTCAACCGGACACCGTCTAATCTTGTTGGCTGATAAACCTCGCGCGGTGTCAAACGCGAAATTTTAGCGCCTGACACCGCCGCACCAGTTTCTGACACCGCGCCAACTGCGTGGCCTGGTCTAGGCAGAGACCAACTTTCGTCTCCACATGGCGGTCGATTGCGCTCTGATATAATCATGTAAATATGGAGTTGGCATCCCCTGCCAGGCTCTCCTCACCAGCAATATATATGCACCTACAATACGCAACCTATTGTGGACGGCAAAAATGCTTGAATATGCGGATCCGAACGCAGTCCCTAATGATTGGCGCACGAGACAGCCAGGCTGCGCCATTTGGTGCATCATTGCAATACCTCGTGTAATTCTGTTAATCATATCTTATGGCCTCCTCTACATCTTCAGTCCTCTACGCCCAAACACCCAGTGGACCTACACACAGGCTCTTCGGACACAGCTCATCAAAACCGTCTTTATCATCATCAGAGAAATCGGCTTCACCCAATCGCTGACACTGGAAGCCGGGGAAACGGGTGATAAATGGGTGACTATCAATCCAGCTGCGGCGAGTGCATACCGTGGGCCATTTGCCAGCAACCAGAATGTTAAGCCGGAAGTTATTGGAGGGACTTGGTATCCAGATGTACCACCATTGCCAAAACAGCAGTCAGACGGCTGCGATAACAATGATGATAACAGTGTTGTCGTCCTGTCTTTTCATTCTGGATCATTCCTGTGGCTGACAGGACGGCCAGAAGATTCTGGGGATGTTGCTGGAATGATCAACGAAGCACTGGGTCCCAATACACGCTCATTCTGGCCTCAATATCGGCTTGTAGGGGACAAGAAAACCCTGGCCGGTTACCCAGCACCCATGCAAGATGCGATCACTGCGTACATATATCTCGTCAAAGATCTCGGCATCTCCCCGCGCCGCATCGTTCTTGCTGGCGATTCTTCTGGTGCCACCATCGCACTGGCTCTCGTGCGCTACCTAGGACTCTTCAACACGCTCGTCCCGTCGCAGGACGCTGATGTCGAATCAGCTTTTGATCTTGCCAGCCTCCCACTGCCCCGGGTATGCCTTATGTTCTCGCCATCGCTCGAGTACTCTCTGGAAGGTGACAAATCCGCTATCCTACGAAACCGAAATTGCAAAACGGACTATGTCGACGCTCCGCTGATGGCGTGGGGAGCAACAGCTATCGCACCGCCGGAAATTGTGCGGCTGGATGATCCATATCTGTCACCGGCGCTGTATCCGTTTGCGACGCCTGTGGCGCTATTTGTGCAGGCAGGAGGCGCCGAGGTGCTTTGTGATAGTGCCAGGGGTGCCGCGGAGCGGTATCGCGCCATACCGGGGAATGTGGTTGAGCATTTGGAGGTGTCAGATACGCCGCATGATGTATATGCTGCTGGGGCGCTTCTGGGGTGGAAGAAAGAGCAACAGGAGACTATTTCTGCGGCGGCGAGCTTTGTGAGAAGGCATCTACGATCTACATGAAGAGTTGACTCGTGGATATACTTTATATATTCAAGGGTAAGCGTCTAGCTTCAAATTATCTAGTATGTCCACCACTGATCTGTGTAGCACACGCCGTAACAGCGCGATGACTGGAGTTGTGGCACTCGAGTGGTCTGGAACTTCGGATAACTATCCAATTGATTGATATTGGATCATAGGATACCGTGCTGAGCTCAAAAGCATGGATAGATATATTGTCCAAGGGCTTATGGCAGGTGTGGAGTCGAACATTGTGCAAAAGTATACCCGAGGCCATAAACGTGAATTTGGTGAAAGCATGAAGTTCAGATTTGACAAGGAAGAGCTGTGTAGAAGAATGAAAGGTGTTTTTATGCCCTCCCCCCGACCGCCACGGTAGTCGTCCATTGGTTGTCTGTTTGGCATGGGCGAAGGATTGTCAAACGAGGACAACCAGGCCAATGTGCAAGGCCAGGACTGTGAGTGCAGCACGTTGGGCATATGCAGGTATGATGGCTTGTTTTGACCAACCCAATTGGCAGCTCTAGAAAGCTTGAGTCCCGCTAACGCGTACTAACAACAAACGGAATTGCCAGGTTTCCTGCCTACGTGAGCTTAGCGTATGCCGCCGATATCATAGGATTCAACAAGTGCTTATCAGCTGGAGGAGTGTTGGCTAAAAGCGCGTTGCTGATAGGCTCTTCCCCAAAGGCCAGGGTTAGTGGAATATGGGTGCTAAGATACTCTGCCCCACTTCGTCCCAGCCTTGTGTGATAGGTATCAAAACTGACTCGTATCTGGATTAGCTCAGATACTGGAAAACTCGTTGCTCAACTGTTTGCACGGGGAATCGTTCCATGGAATAATAGCAATGGCCGTTGACCACGCGCATAGAAATGATTAACTATGTATCTGTTGCTCATTAGGTTTCCAATTGTAAAATCCCCAGCCACACTCGGTGGATCCCATATACAGCCCCGCCATGGTATATTCACATTCGGTCGTTCACTAATTCTGGCCCCCAAATAATGACAATAATAGGTGAGCCGGGCTTCCTTTATTCCGGATTATAAGATGGGGAGTAAGCCTTCAGACTCCATCAAGCTCCGCTCTTCTCTAACCACTTACTCCTGTCCTCATCCTATCGAAGATGGCAAAATCCAGTCCCGAACACCGGTTTGAAGTCCGGGAAATTCAAACAAAAGAAGAATACGCCCGTCTGGTTGACGTCCTCTGGACTGCCAATTTCCAGCCCTACAAGTACCGTCCTCCCTGTCCAACTATGCCGCCCCTTCCTAAGGCATACTCTACCCGCCAATCTAACATTTACAACACGTCCACAGTCCTATCTTCACAGCCGTCCATCCCGTAACAGGGCACTCGGCTTCGGACAGAAAAGCAGACAAAGCATTTGATGCTGAAATCCGCTGGGCCGCTCACATAAAGAATCCAGCGTCGCACTTTATTTACGTTCTTGATCTACACACAGGCCGGGTTGCAGGTGGATGCGAATGGCTCATCTTCCATGAAAATCCTTTTCCGCATGGACCGCAGAAGATCCCATGTACTTGGTACCCCGAAGGCTCGGAAAGAGCCGAATATACTAGTGCCTTCTTGTCTCAAGTGTTTTTCTATCGCATGTCCTGGTTCAAGAGACCCCATGCCGGTATGTCGTACCTCTTCCCGCTATTATCCTCATTTGCATTTGCTAACGTGACTTTTATGAGGGTACAGGCGTCAATGCCATGGGCGTGCATCCCGATTACCGTCGGCGTGGCGTAGGCAGGCTGCTCATGCAATGGGGTCACGAGCGGATCGATGAGTTGGGGTACGAGAGCTTCATTGAAGGGAGCCCGATGGGACGGTGGCTGTACGAGGAATTTGGGTATCGACGCGTGGTTAGTTTGCATGTTGATTTGGACAAAAGAAATCCGAGTGAGGAGTGGTCGAGATTGTTACATGAGTGTCGTCCACCAGCGATATTGTTGCTATGGAGGCCCCCTAGAGGAAGCTGGGATGGGAACGTGCCGGACGGCCCATGGGCGGTTGAGGACGGGACATGGAAGTAAGAGTTTTCCAAGGGTTCAGCCCCTGCGCAAGGTAAATAGCTCCGGGGGGGGGGGGGGGGTCATACGCATCACCATGTCATTGTCGTAGACCCGGCGGAGTATGTACAGTGTACAGAATCTATCTCATTTATGAACGACTTAGACTATAAACGTTTGATCGGCCACTTCCGCAGAAAAGTACGCCATAAGTTTTCAAGTCCCTCCCGTGCTGTTTTCTTTCCCCTTCTTTTCTTTTTCCACTTTGCTAGTGCGGACTGTTTCTCATGGACTACGCCATTTCAACGAACGATGAAGGCCTCAAGATGCACGGGTTCTCGGAGTGGTCATCGATCAAGTTGGTTAACATTACTGATTGTCGTAGCCTGTCCCCGAAATACGGACGAAATGATGACCTTTGTTTTCTGTCTGATTTTATTGTCTTTTACCAGGAAAAGTAATCGATCGGTGACGGAAGTGCTAGAGCGTTGCGAGCTATTATCCACTACCATAGTATGGTCCACCGATGGAAAGATCCCTTGTATGCAATGTCATCCCAGATCGTCTATAGTTAATTCTCTTGCAGCTTGTTTTCTCATCGGGACCACCTCCAGAATCTAAGACTCGGGCGACTCAAACTCGGCTCCACCAGACGTGAAGGCATTAAATATTCACACTAGATCAACAAAAAGCAGCGCATACGAGTACGAAGCCCATCGGCATTTGAGATGATTCGACATCAAGGCAGTCCCGCATGATTAAACCAAACCCCACACCTTTTCCCCGGGTAAACCCCGCAAAGAACAATGCATACCTCTTGGCGTGGGCTTCAAGGGGACCCTTGATTTGATAGTGAGGCACTTTCTCCTCTCCTGCGGTCTGCAGAGAGAGAAATTAATAGCCGACGAGAGCCAGATCATTAGCCGTATCCTCACTCGAGAATGCATTTATACTCCAGAATTTTCCAACAGTCCAACGGTTTTTCCAACGTGGGAACTACCCTGATCAGTCCATGACCATGAAGTACTCAGCGCAATCACTGTTATTGCTCTTTCCAATTATTTCGGCGCTTGGTCATCAGCCAATCCAGCATGACCCTCTTATCATTCAATTGAAACCTCAAAACACTCCAACCCGTGAACTCGTTTCTCTCGATGGCCTTTGGTCCTTCGCCCTCGCGGAGGGTAACAGTAGCTCCTCGCCCTGGACATCAACCCTCCCACATGGTCTCGAATGTCCTGTTCCAGCATCATACAATGATATCTTTGTTGACCGCAAGATCCACGATCATGTAGGTTGGGTCTACTATCAGCGACAAGTGAAGGTACCACGCGGCTGGTCACAAGAGCGATATCTGGTCCGCGCGGAGGCCGCAACACACCAGGGGCAGATTTATATCAATGATGAGCTGGTCGCAGAGCATCAAGGCGGGTATACACCCTTTGAAGCGGACATCACAGACCTCGTTTCTGCGGGTGGCACATTCCGTCTGACAATTGCGGTCAACAACGAGCTAACGCTCCAAACGATTCCGCCGGGGCGGATTGAGGTGACCGAGGGACTTGGAAAACGAGTGCAGTCCTACCAGCATGACTTTTATAACTATGCAGGGCTGGCCAGATCGGTGTGGCTTTATTCCGTACCCAAAGATCAATTTATTCGGGACGTTACGGTCGTGACTGGCGTTGAAGATGGGAGTGGAGTCTTGAATTATACTGTCGATGTATCTGATAAGACGACGGGGGAGGTACGAATCTCTGTGCTCGATGAGACTGGAGCCAACGTATCGAGTGCATCTGGGGCTCAGGGAGAGGCCGTCATTGAGTCAGTTCATCTTTGGCAACCCGGTGCTGCCTACCTGTACCAGTTTGTGGTCAGTATCGTTGATGTATCCAACGAGGATGCAGTCATCGACACATATACGATCCCCGTGGGTGTACGTACTGTCAAGGTCCAGGGACGGCAATTCCTCATCAACGACAAACCATTCTATTTCACGGGATTTGGAAGACACGAGGACACGGCCGTCCGCGGCAAAGGTCACGACCAGGCATACATGGTCCATGATTTCCAGCTCATGGACTGGATCGGCGCCAACTCGTTCCGTACCTCGCATTACCCCTACGCAGAAGAAGTTATGGAATTTGCGGACCGACACGGAATCGTCGTTATTGACGAAACGCCTGCCGTGGGCCTATCGTTATCTATGGCAGCTGGCACCTCATCCAATGCCAACTCGGACATCTCCACCTTCTCCCCGGAAGGAATAAACAACCAGACACGGAAGGCGCACGAGCAAGCGATTCGAGAGCTAGTCGCTCGGGACAAGAACTACGCCAGCGTCGTTATGTGGTCGATTGCAAACGAACCGGCCTCACAGGAAGAAGGGGCCCGCGAATACTTCAAGCCCTTGGTTGAATTAACACACGAATTGGATCCTGCACATCGCCCCGTTGGCTTCGCGAATATGATTGCCGCGACATACGAGCTCGATAAGATATCTGATTTATTTGACGTGCTATGCCTCAACCGGTATGCGGGATGGTACACGCAAACTGGCGATCTAGAGGAAGCAGAAATCGCGCTAGAGAAGGAGTTGCGTGGTTGGGAACGGAAACTTGAGAAACCGATTATCATGACCGAGTATGGAGCGGACACGCTCAGCGGTCTACATTCCGTTCTGGCGACTCCGTGGAGCGAAGAGTACCAGACGAAGTTCTTGGAGATGTATCATCGCGTCTTTGACCGGATTGAGTCGATTGTGGGAGAGCAGGTGTGGAATTTTGCCGATTTTCAGACGGCAGTTGGGATCACTCGAGTGGATGGAAATAAGAAGGGCGTGTTCACGAGGGATCGGAAGCCCAAGGCAGCAGCTCATACTTTGAAGACGAGGTGGAAGGGCTCAAAGCGCAAGTAAGACTGAAGGATCTACTCCGTATGTAGTCGGTCCACTTTACTCAGAGGGAACGGAAACTCTATATAGTGTGTTGGGCCTCTAGCTCTACCTGAGATGTTTTACTGCTTGCTAGCCCTAAAGGAGCACGACATATACTATAGAGCATTTTTGGCTTTTCCTGGCTCCGGTATCCAGGATTCAAGGGCCTTTGCCCCAACATTATATCAAATAATTAAACAGGTTCTTGTGGGCACAGTCAGGGCCGTAGCTGGCCCGGTGTCAGGATTTACCTAGTGCGGTGGTGTCAGGCGCTAAATCTCCGCGTCTGACACCGTGCGAGGTTTTTCCGCCGCAGGGCTTCCATATTAGGATACCAAGAAAGAACTTACTCCAATGATGCGAGAACAATGCTGACACCATCTAAAGCCCTCTAGTCTCTATCATATGACGTGAGTACTTTGAAGTTCGGATACCGCATCAGCTCAACAACATAGAACTTAGGTTTCTTTAGGGACTACTTCGGACTCTTGGGGGTTGCGTAGGGTCTTCGAGGGTTACTTAGAGTTCTTGAGGTAGACCTCATAAGATGTCAGAGAAGCCCTTCACACGTAAGGTGATGCAGTATCAGAACTCTTCTCTTGGCACGCTGACACCAGATGCGAGTCAACAATAAATAATGAATTGTTCCCGACACTGCGGCCGCGGCACTAAATCCTGGCATCACACTAACTATATCCTCATGGTAAGCAATGGATACTTTCATCTTGACTCATCTTAGGGAATGACAACCACGTGGGCCATCCGCCCCCACAGACCCACCATATGAAGCACAGTTAGGGCATGGCATGCTCGTGTCGACACGACCCCAGTTCCGCCGGCCGGCGGAAATTGCTATCATTGCGAATACGACCTTTGGGGTCTGCGTGCTAGCCATCGATCTTATTAAATAGGGGCTTTCTCCCCAAATATACTTAATTGCGGTAAGATATACACGGAATTAATATGAAGGGATTTGGTCTTTTGTCTGCGCTTCTTGCGCCTTTTGTCGATGCAGGTTCAACAACCACGGTAGACCTCGGATACACCATCCACCAAGCTGAAGTTGAGGTACGTTCAGGTGCCCCACGAGTTGGATTATTCTCTAATAAATGTTGATTGAGCTTCAGAGCACACCTAATGGACTGCGGTATCTGAGTTTTACAAATGTTCACTACGGGACAGCTTCTCGTTTTCAGCCTCCTGAGGCCCCGCCAGTGAACAGAACCGTACAGACTGCAGGCCCATACAACATCCAATGTCCGCAAGGACAGCCAGCATGGCTGAGCGTGGCGAGCCAGCCAGGTGAATCCTGGACTAGTGTGCCTCCAGTCACAGAAGAAGACCTCGCTCCGATCGACCCCAGTACCAGTGAGGACTGTCTGCTCTTGGACATCTACGTGTCAGAGAGTGTTTTCAAGGCCAGAAAAAGCAAGAAGGCTTCAGTCATCGTTTGGATCCATGGCGGAGGGTATGTGTCTGGGTCGAAATATACGTACACCCCTACGCCTAATCTGATTGAGACGGCGCAAAATGAGGACAAGGATGTGATCTTTGTTCCTATCAATTACCGCTTGGGGTTGTTTGTAAGTTCTACCAGCTCTTGACCCCACTCATCCCTTGGGGCTAGCGTTGAATCCTGACTGATTGGATCAACAGGGATTCTTGGTCGACCCGGATTCTGATGAGATTACGCGTAACCTAGGACTCCTAGACCAGCAGGCTGCCTTGCAATGGATTCGGAAATACATCCACCTCTTTGGCGGCGATCCAAGTGATGTCACAGTTATGGGTGAGTCGGCTGGAGGCGGTTCAGTCATGTACCATCTCACCTCTGGCGATGCTTCGACTCAGTCGTTATTCCAGCGGGCTATTATTCAGAGCCCGTTTGCCATCGACATTCCTGCTAGTCAGCAGAAGAGCACGTTGCAAGAGGTGTTAGAACAAGGCAATATATCTTCGTTGGAGCAGTTGAAGAGCCTGTCTACGGAGGAACTGCAGACTGTCAACGCTCTTGTTGTAGGCAACGCAAAGCCCTATGGAACATTTGTCTTTGGTAAGTGCGAAAAGAAAGTCCGCCCTTTACTTGAATTCATCCATCTAACTTGATGAACAAAGGTCCGGTTATCGATGCCCCCAGTTTCCCGGGCTATCCTCCCGTCCTCCTAAAGAATGGCCAATATAACAAGGATGTTTCCATCACCGCAGGACACAACTCCAACGAAGGCACACTATTCGCCTCCCCATTCATAAAAACAGACGAAGAATACACCAGCCTCATCTCCAGCTTCTACCCGGGCCTGTCATCCACAGACCTCTCGACTATCTCCGACGAGCTGTATCCCCACGACTTCAGCGGCAAGTACGGCTACACGGACCAGACCGGCCGCGTGGCATCCACGATCGGAGACTCTCTTATCATCTGCAATGCCTATTTCCTCGGCGAGGCATACACCGACGGCTTCAGATACGAGTTCAGTGTTCCCCCGGCTATGCATGCAGGAGATCTCGCGTATACTTTCTACATGCCGGGTAGCTCGACGGCGGGCGTAAATACCACTCTTGCGGACATCATGCAGACTTACTTCGTGAGTTTCAGTACGACGGGAAATCCTTACTCTTGTGATCAGGAGACAGTCCCTGCAGATGGTATGATTCAGAACTTTAATATCTCGGACTTTGGGCTTATCCAGGATACGGTTTCGGCTGAGAGGTGTGGTTGGTGGCAGAAGGGTGCCTTTCTGTAATTGATATTGCATTAATATCTCCGTTGACGAGGAAGATGTCACCTAGTCTATACAATGTGGCCGGAGGAGTTGTATAATGAGGCCCGTGACTCCTTGATTCCTCGTGGAATGGTGGGTATGGAGCTGAGGTTCGGGGTAGCTCTGCTAAGTTATACATTTGTATATATACATTACAAAAATACCTTTATAAATATAAATAGATTTCAGATAAGAAAAAGCGGATCTATGAAGTAGCAAAAAGTAACCTTCTATAAAGATTTTCATATTAATTTTTCGTAAGTACTAAGAACGCTACTGTATTCTATTGATCAAATATAGAAATACATTACGGCCTTTAAAAGACAGAATAAAAGTATGAATTAGTAGCATGCAGATTGATCATTTCCGAAGGTTATTTGCATTCAGAATCTAACTGGCTCCCTTTGCAGGGCAGCACTACATAGAACAGAAACAACAGGGTCCTTATCCATATTCGGCAAGTATACCCCATTCTAGATAGACTCTCGCGCAATGAAATTTCCAGTCATTCATGGACAATATAGTTGCTCCAATGATAATTGTTCCCACAGGACGGGCAGTAATCCATCTTGCCGCTGCTGACAATCACTAGGCGCCATTTTAGACTGCAGCTAGAACAGCAGTACTTTGTCAGCTTTGGATCTCTGTCCTTTTCTTGGCATCCATGTTGTGCATGTTTGTGTTTGTCAGTAGCCTTCACATTAAGCACATTTTAACCGACGCGGAAGAAGCCGCCTTCCAATCAAGTGGAGCATAACTATGGGGGTTGCTGTATCATCTTTAACTACAGGAGACGAAGAGATTACAAATAAATTAATCCTTTGTATGTCATTTCCCGCTCGGCCACAAGGGGTCTGGCTGAAAGGTCAGGGAAGATCCTAGAGATCGCTGCTTAGCTTTGTCCAGCTATATGATTCAGCTATATAGCCCCCTACCTTTTTATTTGCCGGTTCTTTTCCTCCACAGAGTCATCTATCTCATTTTAAGGGGACCTGGCAGGTGTGCACACTTATTTGTGTATATCTAATTAGAGAATGAAACAGAAACCGATATCTGGGGGACATTTACGAAAAGAGGAGAGCTTATGAGCCAAATTACCCTCGAAAGCGAATCGCTTGACAGGGCGGCGTCTTTGCAGAATGGTGTTTGTTGGTGCCACATCACGCAGCATGCTGCTAAGCCCCATACGGGGGCGAATGAGAAGAAACAAACAGCAGCCTTCACACAGTGGGCTGCATTCGACTCGAACCCTTGTACATAGGATTCCGATGCATCATTCGACGGTGATGAGGGCCGAGACCAGGCCGGTAAGCTGCCATATTGGCCATGCATTAAGTCGGTTTGCGACTGTAACCCCTCCCAGACACGGCATTGATGGCTTTCAGTCTGTCTCTAGGTTGCCTTCCACTCTTACCTCAGAGAAAACTCCTAAGTCAGATTAACGATTTACTCTTCTATTAGCCATTCTTCGAACCCTTTCCCGCAAGCTACTGCGAAATCATGCTCGTGCTACCCGCCATCTCTCTGTCCGCGCTCGCGGCGAAATCTGCTGGTCCAATTTCTCCCAATGAGCCGGGACTTCAAGATAGCACATGCGGTTTTGAAGGCAATGACGACCTCTACGGCCTCGGTGTCAGACTGGGCGTTTACTTCGTAAGCCTCGCCGCAATTATTTCCGAGTCTGCTTGCCAGGAGTCCGCTGAAGGAATCGGGATATCAAACCGATTCTTCCGGTTTGCCATGCTAGTTACATTGTTCTACCTCACCGTTAATGAGCCTGCGTTTGAATCCTCGGAAGCTATTATCACGATGACGTTCATGCGGTGCTCGGTTGCTTGCTTCCCTCTTGTTAATAACCTGGGTGTGATCCTCATGTCGCAGGAGACAAAGGAGGGAGGTCAACATTATGGAGACGATAGAACTACCGTGCGCCAAACGAAGGAAAGACATTTCATGCGACTGGCCGATTGGATTCTGGATATGGGCAGGAACTGTTTCGAGGCATGGTGGGTTGGCGTTGAACTTGCAGCTCTCAGAAACATGGAATTAAAGACTAACAAGGTTCTGGTTTTCCGGCATCACAAAGCTGAAGACCACGTCATGCACCGGTTATGCTTTCTTTGCTTCTCGAGTGAGCATCTTTGGGTGGTTCCGAACGTGGAAACAAATCATTGCGGTCCACAATCTCCTTGTGCGTATCGCTGAGACTGAAGTTCTGCACTTCCTGTTGATAGGTCTCGCTGGGCTCGTTTCCGCCATCGTCGCGGTTCCTGCTCTGCTCGTCTATACGTGGATATCACCTCTCGTTAACAGTTTCAAGAGAATCCCTGCATCCATTTCACAGTTCTTACGCTCAATGGCAGCAAAGATGTCAGCTGTGTTCAGGTCATTCCCCCTGATTTACCGCCCTCGGGGCCAGTCAGTTTCTCTTTTTGCAGATGTCGGGCTGGTGGAACTCGCGAGGAAGGGGGTCTTCACGTCCTCTGGACGACCGGTGCATACTCCACGGTGGCACGCAGATCCCAGCTCTCCAGACGGGTCCTCAAGAGCCTTATCGACTAACGTGCAACCAAATATCCGGAGGAGCACCGAAGCAACTCCTCCTGATTCATCCGAGCATTTGTCGCAAGACCGCACGTCATTGACTCAGACAAGGCCTGCAGACGAGCAATCACAGTCAATAAACCATTCTCCCACAAGACAAGATTTCGAAGTCCCATCTAGCCCGGATCTGACACCACCCTGGCTCTTCTCGAAAGTCCTAGGATTCTCCTCATCACCCCAGACTTCCTCAAAAGGGTTTATCTTCCATAAATTAATTGGGGTGTTAGTTTCATGCCTTATATTCTGTGTCTGGTGGACAATTTCATGTCTCGGCTGGACCTTATGTTTCGGAGCATATCACACTTTGTGTGGCTGCGGGAGCTGCCATCGATATATTGATAAGTTCATGAAGCAGACACTTCGATTAGTGTCAAGGCATGGAGATCAAGGGTTTTCCCACCGGCACACTAGATACATTTTGATCGGCTGGTTTTTCATACGACTCTGCTCTTTCTCCCTGAGGATCGCTGCTGTGGAACTCATGATACACTGGAATCATATCCGAAGTGTCGATACTGTCATGGGTTCTGTCGGGCAGCTTCTGCCCCTGCTGGTAGGGATTGGGAGCTTTGCAGCCATGCTGGTTCAGTGGAAATCCAACGATGCTAAAAGGCCTCTTCAGATAGGCGCGCAGCGCGAGAACACGAATGAAGAGGACGGCGGCGTTGATAGCCGCGGTTCTCCCTCGACTGTGTATTCCTATGTCTCATCGGCATCAATGAGTTACGCTGACTCCATCTTAACGAGGACGGCGAGCACGCTGGATACGGTTAATCCATCCCACACGAGTCAGTCGGGACAAAGCAGTTCCAGACGGTCCTTATCCGACTGATGATATCGGGTCTAGCCACTATGGTTCCAGGTTGATCTGAAGCTATACAATTGTGAACCAAATCATGGCCAAAATTGTGGGTATCCTCCTGCTACTACTATCTATGCGGATTATACACTCTACGGCCACTGCCTTTCTGGACCAGATGACTTTCGTGTTGATACCTAGTATATGAACTCTCATTCCATAGAATCTTTCCAATAAGTGGCTTTGGTACTCAACTTCTACAATGAATCAATTAAGCTTATAGTTTTCGAAGGTTTTATTGACCTTGGTGCTCAACAATAGATACAAATAAGACAAAGAAAAGATATATATATTTATATATATAAATCGAGCAAATCAAGGAATATAGGAATATAGAACGGAAAAATAGAGAAAAAGAAACAACGAACTTTTAATAAAGAACAGAAAGCGAAACCGTTTTCGAGGGCAGTAGACATTATAACCAATCAGAATCATTACAATGGCTTAATCTTTAACTACCAGATCTGATTATCAAATCATATATCTAGGGACTGTTAGAATATAGACTACATGTCAATAATATACCGTTCAGCAGACGTGGCATGCACCGAGTTATCTCTTTACATAAACATGAAGACCTCATGACTAGACTACCAGCCTCCATATGTATACCCTCACTATATTGGACTCGGTCAATTGTACAGTACTTATATCATTGGCGAATCGTTCGGGATTCTTAAAGCGTATAATATACAATAAACGATATGTACCGTCTGTCTCAGGATATTATTCCACAACTATGCACATGCCCTTGAAATCAATCATCAAGAATCCGAACAATTCCCCGGGCCCCAGAAAAGATATACATCATTACTTTAAAACGAAGGCGCGATGACCGGCTCGACAGGTCTTCCAACATCCCCCGTCTTCCGATCCTGCTGCATTCCCAGGATCTCCCACGCACGACCCATCATCCCATGCCCTGTGCCTTGCGGAAACCCACCAAACACCGAGTTGCGCGGCGCATGACCACGCCCACCACCGATTTTCCGAGCCTGAGCGATGCGTTCTTTGCGAGTAGCTGCCAGCCGATCCTGTTCGCGCTCCTGGGAGACGATGTCGTCTTTCCATTCCGTCCAGCGTTCGAGGTTCTCGCGCTGCTGGAGGACCTGGTATCGGAGTTTGGTTTTGGAAGGGCGCCAGCCCGTGCGCGTAGTCGGGTCGGTGGATGGGAGGGTGGATTTGAGGTCGCAGATGTTGGATTCAGTGGTGAGTTTGAGGAGGTGGGTGAAGACGTCGCGGCTTTCAGAGGCGGTTTGGTGGGTTTTTTCGAGTGGGTTGGTAGGGGCGGCTGTTGATAGAGATGAGGACGCGGACTGCGTAAGAGGCACGTCAAGCCAGGAGTGGAGTTCGGCGGAGCGTTGCACGGAAAAGGGGTCGAGAATGTTGGCGCGGCGGTTCTCTTCGCGCAGGTAGCGGACGGCGGCTTGTAAGCTCTCGACTTCGGCGCGGAGGGCCTCGTTCTCGCGCATCGTGGCGAGCGAGACGCCGGCGTCGACGACGACACCATCTGTGGTGGCGACGCCGGTCGTGCCAGAGGCCCGCTTGACTCGGTCCAGGCGTGTCTTGAGCTCTTCGCGCTCGGTTTCCATGTCCTGAAGTTCTTTGCGTTGCTGGTCGACAAAGGCCTCGAGTTCGGTTTCTTTAGTCCGCATTTCCTCGATCTTGGCTTCGA